CTGATTAAGGCTTAGGTCTGTTTTATGCAAGATACAGTATACTGCAGTCAGCTTAATTATATATTTGTCTCTGTGGGGATAATTGTTTGTGATAGGTAATCATTTTTTTACCATTCTTTGATGGGAAGGAGTCTACACTGAACAGTAAAAACAAAAATTAAAGAAAGCTGTTTAAGGAGGACCAATATTGTGGTTTTTTTTGCTTTTGAAGGAAAATCTAAATCTGAATCTGATCAACTATACAAACAATCAAGACTGAGGAAAATGACAGTTAAAGAACCATTAAGAACCTTTGATCATAATACAGCATGGTTTGAGGTGTATTTTCAAACAGTTCAGGTACAGAAGTCCCAAACAAAGCTTTACAATTTCAGGAAAGCAGAGCATGAAGGAAGAAGAGAGTTTACAAGTAGCAGAATGAAACAGATGGGTTATGTGTAGACTATGAAAGGGAAATGAATGATGTATTAAATATAATATTTCATTCAGTTGTTTCCCAATGTAAAAATCAACAACATCCTGTACTGTACCTGAGAAAAGACAAAGTTCTATACTGCATAATATTTATAAGGAAGAGGCAGAAGTAGTGGAAGCTGTTATTCTATCAACTGTTCTTAGGGAACAAGAAATAGTCATAGGACATCAGCCGAAGTCTTACCATATTCACTCAAGACAGGTGTGATACACAGTGGGAAATTGCAAATGTAGCACCCATCCATAAAAAGGTGACAAAACTGAACCAAATAATTATTCACCAGTATCCATTCAATTACATGAAAGGTTATAGAACTGATGATAAGAGTTAAATTAGAGGATAATCTATATGGAAATAGGATCTTAAAGGACAGTCAGCAAAATGAATTTAGGAGAGGTTCAGTAAGTATTGCTTAACTAACTTGCTAGTCTTCTGTTAGCAAGAAGTAACAGTAATGGATATACCCAGAGAATACAAAATGGTATGTTTTGACTTTCAGAATGAAGTATGATAATGTTACTCATAAAAATGTAATTCTCAAATTGAAGGCAGTAACCTTTCAATGTAGTGCTTGTGAAATGACAATTGGGCAATGTATAGAAAAGAGATTATAGTTAAGGGACGAATACACAGATGTGGGTGCTGTCATGTACTGGAGAAGTCAAAAGTAAACTCAATTAACTTCTTAATAAGCTATGATGAAGCTATTCAGCCTTGTATTTGAAGCTGATACCCTTGCTTCTTTCCAAAAAACTACTGGATGAGATCTTCGGATCTAGGAATGTGCTACTTGCCAAATAGACTCTGTCATGTTGTCACTTTTTGCAAGTTCTATATACTGTATGGTCTTAATATCTTGAATAAGTTTCATTTCCATGAACATGTGATGATCTTTTGCTATTAAGCATGCAATCTTGCTATTAAACAAGCACTTTACTACCATAATTTACTGTGGATGTGAAGTGCAACCTCTCAAGACCTCCAGTAAACAGGAAAAAACAGAATTTAAGGAGGAACACCTGCACATGTCATTCATTGAGGTTTTACCACTTTTACGTCAAACAAAAATTAGGGAAGGGGAAATGGGAAAATAACAGAACATTAAACCAAAGAGAGCAGAAACATAGCAGGAGAGAGAGATAAAATTAAGAACTGAAACAATAAAAGAAGAAAAATGTTGGAGATAAGCACCTGCCTGCCAGCATAATATTAGATCAGCTGCCAGCCATACAGCTGTTGATTTCTCTTTATTTTTTAAATAATTTAAATTTAATTAAAAGCTCGGGGAAAAAAATGGCCCGAGCTGATGGTATAATGAGTTGCCGTGGGACGTCTTTTTAATAATCTCAGTTTGTAACAAAGAAGTTGCCAAGTCCTCATCGTCTCGTGAGTCACAAGGCCAGCCTGGCCACACGCTCACGCGGCTAGATAAATCCCATCAACCCTCAGGACTCCATTAGTTTCAGTGTAATCTGCCTGTTTGCTGATTAAACTGATGACTTCATTGCAGCCTTCAGCCCTCATCGACACAAAGAGAAAAAAACAGTAAAATATCAGCATTAAATCAGCATTAATCATGGATCATGCCCTCTATTGTGAAAACCTTACTTAGCTTTAGATATTGGCATTACAAATTGCAGAGATTCACCTTTGTTTAATGTTTAATGATTGCCTGGATGTTGATAGTTACAGTATTTCGAGATTAAGAAAATGTATCCGAACTAAAATAAGAAAACTTGTATAACCCATCCCTCCGTTTTCTAACCACTTCATCCTATTCAGGGTTGCAGAGGAGCCAGAGTCTATCCTGACAAGCCGGGATACACAACAGGATACACTCTGGATGGGACACCTGCCCATCTCAGGCACACACAGAGATGCACACACTCACACTAGGGCTAGTTTTCCCAGAAACCAGTTCATCTGCCAGTATGTTTTGGGGAGGAAATCAGAAAACATATCAACTCCAAAACTCCAAGCAGATAGCACCCCAGGTTCAGAATAGAACTCAGCTCCACAGTACTGTATGGCAGCAATGGTAACCACTGTGCCACCGTGCTGGTCTCATATTGACCATATGAGTTTAACATGATTTAACTATCAAAGATGTGCTTCAAATAGCTGTATTGCCAAAAATCAACAGAAAATACTACGGCAACTTCAGCCTTTAGCCTGATCTTTCAGGTCACAAACCTCAGCATGTTAATGTATCACATTATGTCTGCCCAGGAAATCACTGGGTTTAGATATGATTCTCTAATTAAGAATGGTAACATTTGCAAACAGTATAGGTATTTGCACCTCTTCTTAAATTAGTTAATTAATTAGGATTACAACAGTTTGTCAATGATAGTTAAGCCTAAAACACTTAAAAAATAAAAACCTGTAACACGTTATCCATACTTATGTATGGAACGGTATATATAAAATGCATCTATTTCATTGTAGTATAAAACAGAATGTAATTTGCCTTGATACACACTAATGTCATGTTGTTTGTATTTAATAGTCACATTTCATCATTAAAAGGGGATTCAGGCATTCACATATAGCATGTAGAATTCATAATAAATATTCTTTTAGGAAAGAGCTACTCTGGCCCTATTTTTAATATTCTAAGTATCTCCAGCTTGGTCCTCTCCTCCCACCCACACTTTCCTGAATATGACGTCGAGATTTTTCTTTGAATCTTCTTGACTTGTGTTGCCAGTCATGCTGTGAATCACTATAAACATATGGAAGAACATTCTAAAACAATTCGCCACAGTACCTTATTAAATTTTAGTTAATCAGAAAGCAGAGCAATGAACAGGACAAAGAATGAAGTCTGGAAAAGACGAAGACTGTGGTATTTATTCATAAAGGAGATTGAAAACCTACTTTATAAGTGAAACTATCACTAAAGAAGGGTGATTGGCAATATGTTTTGGGATGTATGCTATTACCAAGTTCTGCTTTTGTGCTTTTACAATATTGAGATTTTGACATTGTACGATATTGTGTTTAGGCGTAAAGGGAGCTTCCCTTGGGCAAGCAGTTTTTGATAATTTGTCTGGTCCCAGTTGTGCCACTGAATCTTATAAATGTTTATGAGACTGTTAAACTCTGCAGTTCACAGCACATTATAAAAAATAATATTGTTAGCAATCAGTTTCAGTATCTCTTATGCATCATGTGTCTTGATAGCTGTGTTAGACTAGGGAGTTTAAAGCAGGAAACAAATACGCTCATAATAAACAGGAATACGGGGAAGGCAATTTTCAAGTCAATAATCTAGTAATATAGCAATCATGCAGCTTTCAATACGCCTTGCCTTATGATTCTCTACATGAGCTCATTCTGGACCTACTGAGCAGAAAGGAGCTGCATAAAACACACCATCAATATATTCGCACTGCCCGTTATTTTTTTATTCTTTATAAAACAAAGAAGCTTCACAAATTCAATTTCGAGACGGTGCTATATTTACTAGAGGGAGTCTCTGCTGATGTAGTCACTGTGCCTGCAGAATGTTTTAATATGAAAAAAAAACTAGCCTCTCTATATTTTCATTTTAAGACAGTGAACATAAAATTACAAGCTAATGCAAGATTATGTATCCGAATGCCACTCCACAGGCCTTTCAGACAATGGAGGAGTTATATGCACCCAAGGATATACTGCATCATGCACGGCCCAAGTTCCCCCACCCCTTTGCATTGTGCTATTGGAATACAGAAAAGCAATAAAAAAACATGTTGTTTCTGCTTGATTTTGAACATTATATCAGTAGGGAAGCGGGATGGTGTTAAATAACGTCTGATTCTTACGTCTTAGGCAAGGTCAACGTTGTCATATGTGACAATTTAATATGCGAGCTCCATTTGGGTTTAATCGCTACGCTATCTTCTGGTTTCACAGTAAAGTTGCCAAACCTGAAACATACAGTACCCGAATGAACAGCATGACGCAAGGAAAGCGCAGCAACTCTTTTTTAAAAATAAATATTGTTTCATAGTATGGGTTCTAGCTCCTTGTCATTTTAATCGCATGCCGTCCTTTTTTCCATAGTGCTTACATTACTATCAATAATGATTACGCCTGATAAGATTTATTCTCTAAGGATATTAGATGTACATTGTAATGTACACAAAGAAAGGTTTAAAGTGAGTTTAATAACATCATATAAGCAATATTTATCAAATCAAGCCGATATGTTCGTTATTATCTATACTGCATGCATACTGCAACACAAAAGGCTTCGCCTGTAGCACAGTGTATTAACTGTCACATCACATGAGACTTACTATATTGCTTTCCCCAAGAGGAAGCACTGGTCACCACAACAACCAAAGACGCCTGGCTTCCTTTCAACCAAGCCTGGTTTAAAACCCCCTTCTTGCGGACTCCCTGCGGCTATTGGCGGCTTGCTGCCTCCGGGACTGTCACTCAAACGCTCCTCAGCAGTAGCTGGTCCAAACCAGGAGGAGTTACGCCCCCCTGCTCACCCAAGTCAGGAACAAGGCAGGCCTGCGAAGTTTCTATGGAAATCTTTCACTTCCACTCCACACACCAACTCCGGCTGGCTTGAGCCCACACAGCTCAAGGCGGCTCGGCCGCCGCCATTGGCCGGGGCGCCGTGCCCGCAGGGCGGACTCCTCGCCTTGATTGGCCCGAGGGGGTGGTTCGTTAGCAGGCGGAGGCGGCGGCCGGTGTGCGCAGGTGGTTGCAGCGGGAGAAGAAGTTCCCTGGGCGGGTTAAAGGTGTAGCCAGGGAAGCCTAACTGGTCCGGGTATGGGGGGTGGATGTTTCAAAAATGCTTAGAGCGGCGCAGGAAAGGGAGCCCACTGCGGCGTGGTGCAGGCCGTTTCAGGTCGGGTCGGCAGAACCAGCACCAAGCCGGGGTGAAATGATAAGCAGCAACATTGCAACAGGTATAGAAAACAAAACTCAACAAACGGGTGCTGGCTGGGGCCGAGAATCACACGCTTTCTACTTGTAGACGTTATCAAAGATACAGTGTTTCAAAAAGTTCTGTTTTTGTTTGTGTTTTGCAGGGAAACTGGTTCTGCACACATGTTACCATGTTGTGACATTGCCAAGCAAACATTGTACTTTTCATTTTTCACCCCCGTACCTGTATTGTTACACGAGTGAGCTGAGCTCAGAATAAGATGATCGCTTCAGCTGAGTTCCTTTATAAGACGTCAGGATGCGTTTCGATTTGTGTGCCTTTAAAATATGTTAAATGTTTATTATGAACATTCATTTCATGTAGCAACTGTGCCCGGTTGTACGTGAGTTAAACTCCAGGCCGGTCTTCATGCACGAGTTAAGGGAAAAAGCAAATACTTCCATAAACCCTTTTCTGTAGAAATGCGAGGCAAAACGGTGGTCAGAAACTGTCCCTAAAGTAATATTTGCACATATCGGCCTGCTCCGACGTTATTGCATTTTAATTGCAGTTTACATCAGTTTCGAGCTTAAACTAGGTTAAGAAACCTACCTGTGGCAAAATCAGCAGAGTGAATGTAACTGAACAGTGTATGGTTTTTTTTTGTGTGCAAAATACTAAGTAATATGTGGTAAAGCTAGAATATAACAGAATCTAGACTATTGTAGTAATGGATCAATTGCTTTCTAATGGTACATAAGAAGCTAGCTACTGCCAGTGGATTGTGCGCTTTTAAGGTTAAATAGATCAGTTTGTAGGGGGAAATGTGCTCAAGAGACTGTAAATATGATTTGTATGCCTTCGGTGGAGTAGAATGTAATTCTTTCAAACTTTCACAAGGGCTTTCATATCTGTAGTGGATTTACTATGAAATGCCCTTGGACTGTATTATTGTTTTATGCTGACCCTTTCCATGTTGTTTATTTGAAAATGGGTTTGATACATACTAAGCACTCTGTTAGCATGTCTGCATTTTCTTAACTTCTCATTTTATCATAGCGCTGAAGTATGGCTTTGTTATAGCTCTGTCCAGGAAGGCAGAATTAAAAAGCATGTTTTAAAACTGCTTTGAAGAAGAGTAGCAAGGAGTTCCACTTGTGTTTTATGAACACCGCACATCACGGGGAAAAAAATGGGATATTTGGTGAAATATTGTCTTACATTTCTAAAGATAACCTTTCGATAGTTTGTGGATATAAAGGTAAACTAAAACTGTTGTCAGAAAAATAATTTCACACATAGTAGACGCAAACCTTTCTTTTTCTTCCAAACTAATAATGTGCGCCTATTTTCAGGATCTATCAAAAGTGGGGTCAAAGCCTAAAATTAGGTGTAAACATCTGAAACTGCAGAATCAGTGTTGCAGTAATCCAGACTTTGCATGTATGGCACCCAGGAAAACAGTGGGTTATTTATTTTGATTGAGAAATTTGAATTTTTTATCTCTTACTTCATCCAGGACTGTGATTGCCTTATTATATTGGTTAGAGACACCCTTGGTCGCAAGGGTAACTGAACGGGATACGATCCTTCCCTGCTGTTGTATTTTCTGTTCCTTTATTCAACACACAAGGATCTGGTCATCTGGCAGCCGGTCACTTGGCATTTCCTGCTGTCTGATGCTTAGATCTTTGAGGTTTGCTTGATGATGACCTTCCTGTGTGCAGAAGCTGCCAGGGTAAATGCCTATATGTTGTTAATATAAGTCTTACCTGCACTGTCTCTTCCGAGAGTGAGCCATGGAATTCTGTACTGTATCCCACTGTCTCAGTGTCGGTAACCCAGTTGGACAAAATGCTCATATGGCCACCTTGTCTTTTAAGAGAGAAAAGCTTTTGCGCTTAATCAAGGTCTGCATAAAAAAGGTCTGTTTGAAAATCTGGGTAAAATATGTGAAGCTTTTCTCGTTTTCTAGTTTATTAAGTATTCAAGCCAATTTCAAGAATATCCCTGGAATGAACTGCTGTCCATTCAAAGACCTTCCTATTGTCTGATGCTTGATGGACATGAAGCAAATAGAATATGGTCACTTAAGATTAAATCTAAAATGTTAAAATTGATATTTAATTTAAGGAAATAAAAAAGTATAAAATGTGTACTGTTTCAAGCTGCAGTTCTTGTGTGTAATAATTAAGCACAAAATGTTTTGTGGAAGTAGACGAAGAATTACTGGGGGAGACTGCTAATATTTTTAATACAGCAGAAATGTGATGAATATATACTGTATATTTCATCTTTGTGTGCCTGAAGATGATTCTGTAGACAAAAATGCCCAAACTATTTTGTTGCAGCCTCATTGTAACTTGATGGTCATGCTGATTTAAAACAAATTAAAAAAATTTAACCTTTTTTTAAATGAGTTCGAATGCTAAACCACCGTGTAGTTTTACTATACTGCTGAGAAGTATTAGGATTTTTGATTTTTCATCATTGGGGTTTTGGTCATAGTAAGGTAGAGTGGGTTCTACTCAGTAATTCCAGAAATGTTTAAAACCCATCCCTGGAAAGGTCTGGGTTGAATCAACAGCACTCTCTATCGTGGTGGATTAGTTTTAATCCAGAATATGACTTGGTCAGGAGTGAGATAGGAGAAGAAGAAGGGGGGTGGAGCACACAGATAAATTAAATGGGCAGTATGGCCCTATCGGGATCATCCAATAGGTCAGGGTTACTCTCAGTGGAGATATGATTTATTTTTTTTATTAATTTTTTTTAAAGTCTTGGTTTAGATACAGCCTGGTGTTCAAATTCCAAAGTGCTACAGTTTTTTTTTTTCAGCTCTCCACCTTTTCTCCCTGCCTGTTTGAAGGCACAAACGGGTTTTGGAAGCTTCCTGACTCGGATAAGCACAGATTTTAAAGGCTTTTGGTTTTACAAAGGATCATCTTGAGTTTTTAGATCAACTGCTGTAATTCGGAAGATAACAACGGTAGAAATTCTTACGAATTAAGGCACCTGGGTTTCAAATATTATTTGAATGCTGTTCCCAGAGTGGAATATCACTGTGTATCCCAGTAGGACTTGTAGTTTAGCTGGGCAGTGTAGCCTGTATCTTTGTTTTCTGAAAACATTCATAAAGCGATCAAGACCTATTTTAAGCATGGTTTTCAGCCCTAAACATCCATTAATTTTCTGGTTGCTTCTTCCAGTTCAGGGTCACGGGGGCCCCTATTCCATCAGGCAATGGGCTTAAGGCAGAGATGTGATGTGGATGTGTGGGATGCCAGTCCATTGCAGGGCACACACAGACACAAACTCAGATGTGCCACACCTAGGGATAATTTTACCAGAAGCCAATTAACCTAACAGTAAGTATTTGGAGTGTAGGAGGTTGCCAGAGCACCCAGAGGAAACTCACGTGAACATGGAAAGAACATGCGAACTCCAGACAGATAGTGCTCCAGGTCCGGAAATCATGCCAAGACCCCAGTGTTGTGCGATGCCGCAATGCTAACCACTGTGGGTAGAAAGGACAGGGCACTGAACAGCTGAAAATGTTTGCACTCTGACTTCAGCATGTGCTGTCTTGGCAGGTTATAGGTCAGCTGCTGGGGACAGTGGGTCCTGCAGGGGTGCCCAGCGCCCAGCAGAGATGCAGAAACTCCTGACGGAATTCAGGGCGTTGTACCACGAGCGCCTTCGACGAATTGACCAGTCACATGAGGGCAGGGAGGAGACGCTGCAGGTGAGATTCCGTGATCAGCACTGTGTTTTTGTACAGTGTCGGCGTTTATACTCTTTCATCCTCAAAAGAACATATCCTGGAAAAGGAGCATCCTGTGCTGCATGAATAAGAAAGCTGTGTAGACGGATTGTTGCTATTTCTTTCTCTGTCCAGCTCATTTATGCTGAAAGTGTGCCATGCGTCATCTGTTTTTGTGAAGTGTTCAGTGTTGGAAGCTCCTGAAGAGATTAAACACCAGAAATCAAGTCTGGCTAGACTGCACTGATGCTGTTTACAGGGGAAGGCGTGTTGGGGCTGTTTCATGCTTCATCTCTGCAAAATTCTTGTGTTTTGCTGCTTCCTGGCACAAAAACTTGCATTTTGTTTTGCTTTGTTCTCCATAAAACAAGGATAATAGTTTGTGTTTTTCAGCCATAATTCATGGGTTACAGCATGCTAGCTGCAAATCTTACATCCTGTACTCCTACCTTTTGCTGGTCAGTTCTATTTTTGTAGCTTCTGCAGGTAAGAATTTGAAGTTCCTGCAAAGCCCCATGTGCATTAGTTTGGAATCTGTTGTTTTGAATTAGTGTTAATGTTGCGGTCTTTCCCTTCTTTACTTGAATGTCAGATTGTTGTCTTTTGGTGAAATGTTACAGGCCATAGTCATCTGCAGATAAGACCAAAATAACTCTGCAGAAAAAATGCCTCTGAGAACCTGTCCTGCTTCTTTATTTTTAAGTAAAATAAATGCAATCTCTTGTCACAAACTGATTAAGGACTGTTGACATTTGGACAAAGAGAAACAGTCCTTTACCCCCCTTTCTCGCTGTCTGGTTTGGTAAATTATGTGCTATATGTTCTTATCCTGTTAGTGACAGGGCTGGCACTGTGGGCTGAGTGTCAGGAGCCAGCAGTAAGATGCCTGAGCTGGCCAGACAAGGGCAGGGCGTGAAATACCTTGTATGGGAGAGTTTGTAACTGTCTTAGCCTGGTGCACACAGCTGAAAGGTGCAGAACCAACACGAAAACTTGGCAGTTGAACAATGTTGTTAAAAGAATTAGTGTCGTTACTTCAAAAAGCTTTCTGGGTTATTTCACTTTCCCATTAAGAGACCTTTTTTGAATTACTTCACCTATTTAACATTGAAGAAATGTTACTTTTTGGTCAGTGTGCATTCAAAAATGTGTCATGTAAAATTTTTGTTATGACAAAAGAAGTAATCTTTTCAATTTTGCGTTTTATTTAGTGAATTCATATTTGTCATGTTCTCAGGCTTTTAAGCTTCATTAATTTCCAGGGCCTCTTTTGTGTGAAGGAATGGTGTGAGCAGAGAGAAAGTGTTTGGTACTGCATTTTATTTCACTGTATCCAAACCCAAATGCTGACAAGGATGAAAAGTATGTACTGTAACTCATGTTCTCAGCAGATCAAGGCTGATTAAAGCTTTTTAAGATTTCTATAATAGTAAGAGCAAAGTTTTTTTTTTTCCTAAAATGTCCCCTACAAGCTTAACAATAAGAGACTCCGATTCATGATGCATATCAAGAGTTCTAGGAATTTTTGTGGTCACGCTAATAGTATGCTAGGTGCTACACAGGTTAATGAAAAGGTATTTGATTCTGCCGTTGATGCATGATACCCTTATATAAGTAATTCCCAGCCATTGGATCTATAGATCTATCCATCCATTTTCTAACTGCTTTATCCAATACAGGGTTAAGGGGGAGCCAATGCCTATCCCAGCAAGCAACGGGCTCAAGGCAGGATACACCCTGGGTGGGATGCCAGTCCCATCGCAGGGCAGACAGACGCAGTAGACACAAACACAGACACACGCACTCAAACCAGGGCCAGCTTTCTCAGAAGCCAGTTAACCTACCAATATGTCTTTGGACCGTGGGAGGAAAACGTAGCATCCAGAGGAAACGTGCGCAAATGCAAGAAGTGCATACAAACTCTCGGCCCCAGTGCTGTGAGGCACTAATGCAAACATAAAACATAAAATACAACAATTGCCACACCATTGTTCTGTGGATAAAACCATTGAATAAAACATAAAATTGCCATTTTATAGTGTTTGAGGTAGCTTGGCAGCAGAAAGTGTTTATTCACCATTGTTCACTTTTTTTAATTCACTTGTTTGAATAAAAACAATATAGCTTCTGATCTATCCCGTTTTACCGAGAACAGATTATTTCTCAGTTCCTATTAATTCCTTGTTAATGGATTATTACTATTTTGCAATAAGAACAGCCTGTTTTCTGTTGAAACTGAAATACTCTTATGCTCTTAGTTTCAGAAATTGTGTATCCCCGGTATGAATTCTATAATTAAAGAGAGCAAAACTAGAGGTTTTATTGTATGCGATCCTAGAGCCATTGCTGACAGGATAGTACTATATCTGGGTCGCACTCAAATCAGTACATAAGTGTCTCTGTGAGTGTGACATTGTGTGTGACTGTGTAGATATACCCCATTGTGGCTGTGTCCTCTTGTTCTCTGTTTACTTCAGCTGTGTTTATGTCCTCATATTCTGAAAAAGGGTGAACAGGGCTGAATAGAACAGTTTAATGGAGTTCTAGTGTTTATAAGTGGCAGTTTACTCCTCAATTAGGGATGTGTAAACAAGACGAGTGAAAAGGTGCTTACTCCACATTGTAAAACAGGTGCCACAGTTAGGGAGCCACAATGACTCTGCTTTTACGGATGGAAATCTCTTTACAGCACAGAGTGGTCTTTATATAGACAGAAGGTTCAAGTGTTGGCTGTTCATGGGTTCATTGTGAAAACACTAAGCTTAGAAATGTGATTTCTGCATGGATGTTGTATATTCAGGAAATATGAGCCTGGCCTTTTAAGTACAGCCTTATGATGTGAGTCCTGGGTCAGTACAAACTTGGCCTTTTCTTTTTCTGTAATTAACAGAAAAAAAAAGTTAAGAAATCTCCAGCTTCACGTGGGCTTTTGTTGTTTGTGCGGTTTCCTAGTAGAGTGTGGGATCTGCTGGAAAAGGAAACAATTTCTTAGCTGAGTGATTCCTGCCAAGCTTGGACGCTGACCTTCAGAACTTCACGGCAAGTTAGGAGGAAAGGGGCACTGTTCGAAAATTAAAACTTTCACAAACTCGCATTAACGAAGACTGTTCTGTCTCAGTTGGCATGAATTTTGCTGTCTGGTATTGCCAGCTGAGACGAGAAAAAAAAAAAGCAGAGGAAATGTCTGTGGCGGGTGGTGTTACAGACAGCAAGCGGTGATACTTGATCTGATGTTAATGTGCCGGTGTGTGTGAGTGAGCGAGAAAGATGGGGAGATAATCCTGGCTGCCTGATGAGATTGAGGGCTGGGATTGATTGATCGTCTAATCATAGGAGGAAATGGGCCTGAAAATGAATGGAACTCTGCCCTTGGCTTCTACAGGAGCTTGGGAGGGTGGGTTTGGGGGATGTAGTTGCAAAAGACAAGGCCTTAATGTGCAGAAGACCTGATTTCATTTGTGTCTAATATACAGTTATATGATCCCAGCTAAGTGATCAAATAAAAAAAGGAAGGGGTGGGGGAGAGAAGAGGTGTAAATCAAGCTTTATTGCTTGAATATTACTTTTTCATACCATTCCCAATTGATTCTTGGAAAAGGTGGATGGGAAAAAAAAAGAAATCATGTTGTTTGAATTTAAAGTGCTTTGGCAATTGTGGACAAGCAATGTGATAGCCATTGTTCCCTTTTCATTTGAGTTGCTGAGCTGAAGCTGTTTATTTGTTTCTGTTGTCTGTTTTTGTAATGGCACATAACTGGTTAAGTTAACTTTTGATTGCTGTACTTTTATAAACCAAGTGTCTTTGTGAAATATGCCAGGCGGAAAACTTTGCTAAACTTTAATCTTCAGACAGACAGAATGTATGCTGCAATGTATGTTTTCTTTCCTTCTGTGTTACACACGACCTTTATTACCGGCAGTGAATTCTTTAAATCAGTTTACCATTGACTTTATTATCTGTTCTTGGTGTTAAAACTTGCACATTTGCATGTCATAGGCGGTAGTTTGTCTATTGAGACTTATTTTATGTGGGCTTCTCAATTCAGAAATAAACTACTTTAAATATGATAAAACATTGAATCATGTTGCTTTGTTGAATTTGAAGTATTTGGGTATAAAACATTAGCAAATTTAGTTCAGCACCTTAAAATAAGTTTTGAATTCAAATGTCTATATAGGTTTTACTCCTCATCAGAACCACACAGATGTGAGATGTACTGAATCTAGATCTGTGCTGAATTTTAGTTTATAGGGCTCAAGTTGTTCTCTCCATTTGTAAGATAGCAAAGCATGTGACTACTCAAGACATAAATGAACTTGCCATTGGAGATCAGCTCCTGCGTATGCATAATAAAATCATACTCGTTATTACTACCAGTGATGTAAATTGGGGAACAATTTGCCGTACCAGTATAATTCAGTGCCTGGATGTTTTCTGACAGCCCAGGCCGAAGTTTCTCCCAGCCTGTCTGTCTGTATCAGGGTGCTGGTCATCACAAAGAAGGAGCAAGAAGTGGGAGGCTACAGAGATCAGCCACAGAGAAACATCTTTAGGATGCTCACCGTAGTTTGAAGATCCTTTCTGTTTTTTGTCAGGGCCTATATTCACTTACTACTGTAAGACTTGTCATTCAATCATGAATATTCCCAGCATTTTATTCATTCTCTCTCAGCTGAGCTGAGTCAATACAATATCCTGTATAACATCTCATCTTTGCTTAAATGTGTGAGTATTTTTTAAACAAATCTCATTATGGAAACTGTTTATGTTTATTGTTTTAAGCGTGGTGACATATTTGGCATGTCATTGCATGTTTAAGGACGTGGTGGGTTGAATTAATTAATGGACTAAGTAGAGAATGTCAGAGGTCCCTCAAAGTTTAAAAATGATTTTATTGACTATGCAGTCAAAAAGATCTCTGCTTGAAGACGATCTTCGCAAGCATCTCTCTTAAAGCTCAGGCGGTTGCTCTTACGAATGTAGGAGTGGATGTTGGCTGACTCGTCTGGGTGGTCACATCTCCATCGTGAAAGAGAAACTCGCAACCTGGTTAGCACATCCTACAGCACTGGTTCTCAATCCCCGGTCCTGGTGACCCACACACCTTCAGGTTATCATCCCATCCCACCTTAGATAGGTAATTGAAGCCTTATTTGATCTAAGGCATTGCTTCACTTGAATATTTGCATTTTCTTTCTAGTCAGAAGTTTGGGATTTTATTTCATTGACAAAATACAACGGTTCAAACTCCACCATGTTTAAGTGCTAGGAACAAACGGTTCAAATTTGTTTTATTATTATTATTATTATTATTATTATTATTATTATTATTATTATTAAGTCAAGCAAGTGTTTGATGGTGTAACTGGGGGCTCGGCTGGAACAAAAACCCACAGAGGTGTGAGGTCACCAGGAACAGGATTGGGAGCCACTGTCCTACAGGCCTGACGAATGGAGTGCCCACGAAGCCCATGGTTTCCTTAATGGCTCTCAGCTGCTGGGCAGGTTTATGCGGTCTGAGAAGACTGCTGTCCTGTGGACCCATAATGTTTGGGTATGCAGGGATTCCATCTCTGATGTTTGAAGGTGAAGGCAACAGAAGATGAGGACATCACAGGCTGTTGCACAGTCTGCCAGTTGGACATTGACACTGCAGGGATCTGGAAGGCTTCTGGCAGTGGTAGCTGTGATGAGAGGTCTTAAATGGGTCATAGGATTTCTGACAAGTCAGGTTTGGCATTCAGTGATGCTTTCTCATGGTGAGTGGTATCATATGATCATGCAGAAGTGCTGTTACTTGAGACTTCATCAGGCGGGGTTGTTGACAATGTAATTTCATTGGTGACTGACATGCTTAGATTGTGCTTCTGAATGCTCCAGTGTCCCTACTTTGAAATGATCTCACTTTGCTTGTGTTTTTTACATTTTTTTGATAGTTTGATTGATTCCCTGAAAATACTGACTTTTATAATACAAACCTCATCTGTAATTCAGGTATCATTTTCATAAATTTGTCCTGACCTGCAGTACTATCAGTACCAAAGCCTCACCTTTAAATGCATTTAGCACATTTTTAAACCATGGTTTCAGTTGCTTATTTGTGACAGACCTGCTGCGGATTATACCAATGAATGAAACCTGTACTGTAAGACTCCTCCTCTCTGTCTCCCCCTAGCTGAAGACTGAGGTGCTGCAGTCATTTGTTCGAGACCTGAGTGAACAGAATGAGGTTCTGATCCAAACACTGGATGAGCTGGAGAGCGTCTCTGAGGAACGAGTGAGCAACCTGCACAAAGAGCTGCAGGTGACTAATCAGCGCAATCATCATTTACACAGGGTTTATCAAGAAGCTTTCAAATGTCCAAAGGTGGTTTGAACTGTTGCTTGGGTAACCATTTAAAAGCAGTCTTTATAAGAAACACTTAATGATGTTACTTAGTGTGGAAAATTTGAAGAGCTCTGATAGAGCCTACAGTACAATCAAGGCTTGTTGCCATGTCCAAGAATAGGAAGTTTCCTCAAATAAAACAATCCTTTTTCTTTTGATTACTCTGTTAAACTGATGCCTGATCAGGTCTACTTTACATTTACCTACAGTAGATACCCAGGCTTCTGGGCTCAGTAGCTCAGCAACATCTCAATTACATCAGTGGGTAGAGAGCAGCCAGATAGTGTGGTTTAGTTTACATCCAGGAGGTGGGCTTGCATTCACAATTAGATATATAAAAGGGGTTAAAAGGAAATTGGATGCTAGATTTGTAGTAATAAAAAATGCACCTTCAGTCTTTTGTTAATGGGTGTTAGGCATCCGGTTTAGATTGAAGTATGTTTGTATTACATTCCCATCTTAATTTTTTGTGTTCTTATTGCTTTAGTTTCTGACATTGCACATTAGTGTACTATCACGTTAAGCAGGCGTAAATTGAAACTATGTTAATGATTTTTGAAAATCATTAAAATGCATTCATAATGGTATACAACTCCGTAAAAGACACAAGACCATTTAAAGACCATGGTATGGTTGTTCTACCTTATAATGGGAATAACAGTATGGGCAACAACATTTTTTAACAAACTTTTCTTCTGCCAAATATCAACATCTGTACCATGAAACTACTTTGTCACGTTTTTTTATTAATTTATTTTTATTTTGTCAGAGTTTAAGGTGATCTGCAGTATTGCTCAGCTTATTTTTGTATTTCTGTCCCTGAGGTTTCACAAACCAGTTACTGTCTGAATGTTCACGCAAAATAATACGTTGACCTTTTATAGACGGTGCAAATTACAAAAGCAAATTCTAATGTTAATACAACAATATGCTTCACAGACAAAAGACACATTGTTTGCATATTTGGCACTTAAAACTAGTGGAAAAGTGATTCCATTATGGAATATGTCCCTAATGTAGAACATATCTTATCTGCCAGTGGGTTTAAAATTACAGTATTACTAATAACAGTATCTAATTAATACCATGTTGTTTACAACTGGGAAGGCATTTTTGTTCAGTTTGGATTCTGTGTCGTGAAATAAAATAGACATATCATTCCTGTCTGTGCTACGTTGTAATAAGACCTCTGATCATATTCTTAGTTGCAGTGTGCCAAGTGCAATTTTGTATCGGTAACACCAAAACCCCAACAAGCCTGAAAACCTGGTTCCTTTTTAATGCATCATTAACAAGCTGTAAACAGTTTGTGTGAAGACGTTTATAGATGATTTATATGAATTACTGAGTTCTCAAAGTGTGTTAGTGTTAGACAAACTAGAACCTTAGTAGAAACCCAGTAATCAAAGGCTTTGCAAGTTTGGTTTGTGAGCTGTGGTGAAGTATGGTTTTGGTGCTGGGAGGGACTTGTACCACAACAAAGCTGTGATGAAGACTGAGGCCATCTGCCTTACAGTCCCCAATTAGAGCAGTTTGGAGTTCCTTTTTTTTCCTTGTGGTTCTCTGCCAGATAAAAGCCAGACTGCTGTGAACACTGCTTTTGACTTTTGGCATCTCTTTACGAGATTGGCTTTAATCTTTTGCCTTTTATATGTCACCCAGAAATGTGTGGAACCTGATATGATAATGATGTGAACCTGTCCAGGGTATTAGAGTTAAGCTGGCTGATTAGGCTGTGCATCGATTAATCTATCACTCACTTCTGACCAGACTGCAGGAAACCACAGGAAAAGCAGCGGTGAAGGACAGGGTTTCAGAATGTAACTCATGTAAGAAAGTTGTGAAAACAGCAGAACACAGTGTTGTTGCATAGCTAAGCATTTGACCTAAACATTTTTAAGTGTAATCTTTAATCTCAAGGCCCAAACCAAAATTGAAAACTAAAATGATAATGTCCAGGGGCTGATTTGCTATATACTGTAGCAAACAAGATGCTTGAGGTGGGATCTTTTCATAAAGAGATGATGATTGTTATAATAATTTTCCTGGAGAACTATTAAAGAATTTAGAATTATAATAAAATAAAATTGCAGTCATAGAGTTACTCTCACCACCTTTCTCTCTTTCCATCTGAAAGGAAAGGATTGAGACCGATATTAAAGATATAGTGGCATCTAAGAAAAAAATGCAGGTTAAAAAAAGCCTTGAAAAATTATTCAGAATTGATACATATCTATTTTTTCTGACCTTTAAAAAATCCAATACTGTAACCTTAAAAATAAAATCAAAAGACAGTCACTTGGTTTCCAGTGAAAGATAAAGCATAGTCTTCTGGTCCAGGCACTTCCTAGGGATTTAGCGGGACTATTTCCCCTTTATCGTAAATACCTCTTGGAGAAAGAGGGAAGGAGGAAGACCTTCACTTCATTAAACATTCAAATGGCTTTAAAACAGAACGGCTTAATAAGGTTGAACTAAAACTCCTGCTGCTCCAAGTGCAACTTGCACCTTGCAAAGCACACTTTTTTGGGTGAAAAACAGACTTATTGCACAACTAGAATTAATTTAATCATGAAAGGGATTTAAAACAATCTTCCAAGCCATGGCTTTGGTACCCAGAATTTTCTATAGTTATTTAATAAAAAACTGCCTACAATAACAGTATTGTGATTTTAATACAGAACCTTACAATCCGGGTTACAATTATGGATTTGTCATCCTATAATTGCATGTGTTGTACTGTGCTATTTGTTTACTTCTACAAGGCATTTATGAAGACGGTATATAAGTTGTTTTTGTTCTATTTGATTAATTATTGAAGTCTAACTTCCAAATGTCAGTGCTTGTGTGCATTTGATGCTACATCAATACATTATATCCATCAAGCGTTATTATAATCTCTGTTAACCGTTTTCAAAAGGCATAAACCTGGGCCAAAAATAATGTACAGACATTTAAAAAAAGTTACATTTAAAAAAAGATAAATATTTCTGAAGTGGCCTTTGTGCTGTAGCGTCATAGATTCTTCTTAGGCTGTTAAGAATCAGAAGTTGAAATAATGATGAAAGGGACTGAAAAGCAAGCATAACAGAATTAATGCAGGAAAAGTCATTTTAGGCCTTATTTATTTAACCTTTAAGCTCCCTTAATCTTTTCTCGACTTTATTTAAGCATGAGCTACACCCTTTTCTATTTCGAACATCTGTTCACAGCTGCTTCACAGCTGTGCGCTGGGATGGCCTGCAATGGGGTATAAATGGGTAAAAGCTGACTGTAATTGCTTAATTTATTAAAATTAGTTAATTATAAACAGAGACCAACTGGGGGATATTCACTATGTTAAAATAAATAATGTTAACATTAGTCAAGCTTTCCTATTTTTTATTGAAATTCAGATGTTTTTGCACGGAATTAAGGTAATGATTTCCCTACATAATGCAAACACTTTGTCCCGTCTACAAAGTTTGAAATTGAAGTGATGGCAATAAACGTTTAACGGCTAAGTATTCAGAATGTGTGTTTGTCCATTTTGCCATTTCAACTTTTTAAGCTAAGGCAGCATCCAGCTAGGAATAGAATAGTAATGATGGGGAAAATATAAAAGTACTTCCAAGATAACTTGCCAACCCTTGGATAGAGATACTGAACTTCGTAAGAACACATACAGTACACCGATGTAAACAAAATATTGTGATTGTTTTTTCCAGGTAAATTGTACAGATAGTGGACAAAAATGGTAAATAAGGAAGACCATGCATATTGATAGGGGTGTGGCTTGTGTTAATTAGTTAGGCAACAAGCATCCCAGTGTGCTATGGAACATATCTAGTGTTTTTATATAGATCACCTAGAATTATTGTTAACATGGCAGGGGCTTCAGTGGCTAGGACAGCTGATGTCTAGAGCAACCATGTTAAGGTGATGATGTGAGCAAGGAATTTTGAGGGAAGGACCTCAACAACCAAGAGAAAACCGTAGGCAGGAGGATCCTACTTTCATTCATTTGAGGTGTAAAGGGAAAACACAGGGGAGTCACTGCAGACCAATTGACTGAAAATTTCAACCTGGGGTGTGGTTAGCCAGTTTAAACAAAAGCAATATGCCAAGAACGGAGCGGGATACTGTAGTCTGTTTGCAGTGCAACACACTAACTACTTATCACACCAGGCAGTGTACGTTTCCGAATCAAGTGGTGCAAAAAGCATAGACTAAGTAGTGCAGAAATGTGTTGTGGTAAATGCTCAGTATCCAAGAACTCTACAGCCCTATGTACTTGGTTTCAACAGTGAATTTTTCTGATGGTTCAGACAAGGTAGATGCTAATAACTGGTGATGATCATCCGCATGATCATCTTCACCCCATACTGTGATATTACTTTCCTGCTAGGCCCAAACCTTTCAGGACAGTGCCTCCATCTGTTGTGCAAATTTGGTTTGGTGAACCTTATACTGATGTTATCCTTAAGATATACAGTAGCCACCATCAGATCACCAGATCTGAATATAATGGAGCATTTATGGGATATTTATCGGATATTGTGGAATGACATTTTCCATCTTCATCAACCAGCCGTGAGTTGATTGATTCTCTGGGGTCAAGAAGAATGGTGCTGCATCCCTACTGAAATATTCCAGGTACTGGTATACACCACATTCTAGTACATACAGGCTGTAATGTTGCCTGTGGTGAGTGGAGTGGTGTCTCCCCGTGTTGAGACTTTGGTTCTCATTTTATGTCCACCACATATGTACTGTAATTGGAATACACTCATATTGCTAAATGAGCTGTAGTTCTGTTCAAAAACCATTTTCTCTCGATTTTAACAGGCTTGTGTCTCAAGATTAAAAGACGGAGAGGAGGAAAACCATGCTCTGCGCATGACAAAGGACAATATGGAGCAGGAGATCTTGGTAAGTTGTGGCCCAGAATTTTGTTCTTGGTTATGTTAAGAATGAAGAATTAAAAATGTGAAATGTCAGGGGATGGGGGATGTTTTAAGATGTCAAAAACAGTTTAACACTGTTTTTTCAGGAAACACTTTATTTCAGAAAAGGTTTGGTTGACCCTGTGATCAAATGTAGGATATAAGTTCATCAAATCTCACAACGTGACAATGTGGATGGTTAGTCCCTCTGAGTGGTGAGAATGATTATTGTCCTGCAGGCACTGGCGTCATTCCACAACAGCACAATCTAGCCTCAGTTTCAGCTTGAGCCCAGCGCTGATCACTGTGTGCTTCAGAAAAAGAAGCCGTCAGTCATTTTCATCAGCAGCCAGTGATTCCCTTTCAAAGCTGCTGATCGTGTAGAAGATGGACACTACTGTAGGACAGCTCTCGTTCAGGAAGGCCCTTCTTCTTCTAAATGCCATTAACCCACTTTAAGCACAGAGAGACGGTAATTGTAGCTGATTGTGGTGGCATTTCCTTCCTGCACTTCAGTTGGGTCGATCTGTAGGCTCTTTACCCTTTATCTAGACTACTTTACCTTGTTTTTGGTTCTGACTTTGTAAGGAGCAGAAAAACAACTTACTTTTAATTCACAACAGCTCAACGCACGCACATCTTTGTAATAGAATTCCTGTATGCAAAACTGCTTCAATTTCCATCCATCCCTTTTCTGAACCACTTAATCTAAAACAGGGTGGAGGAACAGCTCGAGCCTAATCTGGTAAGCAGCGGAGCTATGGTGGGATACACCCTCGATGGGATGCCACTCCATCGCAGGCCACACAGAAACACACTCACACTAGGGCCAATTTCTGCAGAAGCTAAATTTGCCAGTTTGTTTTGGACGGTGGGAGGAGACCGGAGCACCTGGAGGAAACCCCACGCACTTGTAGGGATAACATATGAACCTCAAACAGACAGCACACCTGGAATTAAACCGCGGGTCCCAGTACTGCCAGGCAGCAGTGCCAACCACTGCGCCATTGTGCTGCCCAATTATACAATTTAATAAATAAAACGATGAGAGCTCTTGCAACTTGTAACTTGTTTCGGTTACCATTGAGTTTTACTTAAAGTGACCTGGAAAGTACTTCAGCTACATTTCACAACATAGAGGAAATAGATCTCTGAAGCACTATTAATTATAATGTACTGTGCTGCACTCTTCTGTATGGATTTCAGAAGCAATAAAAACGACTTTTTAGTTGCCGATATCTTACTTATCTGTCTCGTAGTCTTAAACAATGCCTTCCATTTATAGTAGACTCTATGGGAAAGCTCCCTTTTTGCCCTTATTATAGAACTGAAGCCTATAATAAAACTGGACTTCACGGCACTGAAGTGCCACTGTTGAATTCGCAGTATAAATGTTTTCAAACTTTGTAGTGTGGTGACTTGGACAGACGGATACTGTAGTTACCTAATGGATATGAAAAGGTTATTTTCTTCATCCCGGTTTGAAATCTCAGCGTAAGGATGCATATTGTTGTTGGTAATGCTGTTAGAAAGTGGGGTTGTGGAGGTTTGTGTGCTTAACATGCCCAGCTCTCTGCTGCAGACACTGTTGAATAAACAGATTCACTGTACCTCAGTGCTTGTGCAACATCTAAGTGCATTGCCCAATCATATTCAGAATAATTAAATCTTGTGAGGTGTCTCTGCAGGCATTGTTTATGGATCTCAGCACACTGGTCCATGTCACTCCTAGACTTGAAGTCCCTCCTAGATCTTATGCACCACCCATTCCTACCTACTGCTTGTCACATGGCTTTCCTCCTTTTCCCTGTTTCAATCCAAGAGCCATTATTTCAAAGAACAATTATCTGTCCTGATCCCCGAAGCTGGCTTTTGCAACTTAATACAGAGAAATGGCTGCACCCCCCCCAAACACACACACGTCCTTCTCCCTTTCCAATATCTTCCCTGCACTCTTTTTCTCTGCAAACTGTAAGTTGATATTCTCCTTTGAAAAGGTAATGATGCTGGCGAGGTGAGATTATGTATGTGTGGCGCACAGCGTAATAGCCTCCGTTTTTATTGCTTGCCGCATACTAATCCTATAACTGAGGGAATGAAATGACCCCTGCAGGGAGTGCGTGGGAGTTGCAGACCCACATTAAAGCACAGCCATTAAAAATGATCAAAGAAATTATTACATATTGTACTACTGCCACACAACACGGGTCTCACAACATATCTTGCTACACACATGTGCCAATTAATATTCCTCTATGATGCATATTGTCAGAAAGATGCACTGTTGACGTATGGTCTGTCTTGATCTGACTTTGCATAGCCCTTAAAAAGCTCTGGTGTTGCAAGCAGGGCCGATTATACACAAAGATTGACATTTTTATATTTTCTGGGAAGATCTATAGTAAATTTGCTCTGTTTTTGTTACTTTTCTACTCTAAAGTTCCTTTTTTAGTATTAACTGGACCGTGCATTCTTAGTTTGTGCTGACAGTCTTAAATCTTCACATGTATCTGATTTTGTTCTAATTTAACATTTTGCATGCAAATGCTTTGAGTAATTTAGAGGACAAACATGTCTGCACATACATTTTGCCGATTCACAGACGAGATGAACGCCCTATCAACACCATTGTGCATTGAAAGATGACATTTTGCAGCACAGTAGTTGACTCTTATTATGTATTCACTAGCTTGGCTGAAATATTGTGATAAATGCTATTTCATTTCCTGAATAGTACAAAATAATGCCCTTTTATTAAATAGACTATCTGAAACAGTAAGTGTTTTCTAATGCACAAGAGAAACCAATGTATGTAGAAAATGGATAGCGAGTATGTCATTATTGCTGGTGTGGAGTAATCCCGAAAAATAACCTATGGAAGAAAGTGCTATGATTTATTTTGTACTAGTGCTAGTTGTCATGGTCATGGGACCTTTTCTGGTGGATCCATTTTCACTGCTTTTTCACTGCATTTCTCCTCCATTAGATAGTTTCTACTTGTGATGTATGATGTATGCATAGAAAGGCAATAGGATGTTTATTCATGACTTTCTAAGCAGCGCCTTTGCTTATAAGCTGTCTGATTTCCTTTAAAGGAACAAAACTACTTGAGACTCAGTTTCCTACTTCGGGAAACAGCGACGTTATTTTGCATTTCATAGTTTTTCCATACTCTTATCTTTGTTAATTCTTACTGTTTTTTTTGCTGTTTGAATGAATGACTCCCTATAAATTCAATTAAATAGTGTCATTGTCCCCTCTCTTCTGTGGTTATTAAAGAAACTACATGTGTGTTGTTTCAACCCTTGTATTGAAGAACAGTGACAGGAGGGCGATCTATTCATACAGCAGACAGCAGTGACAGCACTTTGTAGCCTGAACTCATCAGGAGCTCAAAACCTGAGCAAGCCAGGGCATAGTGGCTCTGTTACCACTGGACCACAGTTTTGTAAACCAGTTTCACCAACCAGTGCTGCACTGTTGGACATGCTGTCCTTCAAACAGGCAGTTAACTGGTGTTCTGACAACCTGGCCCTTAGAAATCACTTCTGACACTCATGACCATGTTCATAAGAGGTTGACCCTAATGCCCTAGCTACTGTAAGCTCCATCTGGAGCTTGCACAGTCCTCCCTTAATTAAATTTTTGGAGTAAACTCTTTCTCCACATGGACAGCTGTGTAGTGGGGCTGCTTGAAAGTGACTTTCCCCCATGTGGGTGCTCTGCTTTAATGAGTGGCTCTGGTGGATGAGTGGCTCCCCTCCTACTGTATATGTGAAGCACTATGGGGAGAAAAGTACTATACAGATGCAAGCAATTTTTTATGCCTTGCGAAAGAATGTCCATCACTCCCTAGCAGGGGAAGGGCTGTGTGCTGATTGAACCTCTTTGTACGATGCGTAACAGTGATTGTTAAAACTCTGTCCTAACTCTTTTCTGTTTTGCACAATACTCCATCTATGACCTAAAATCACAGATAAAATAAGCATAATTTGAAAATAAAAATTGCGCTATTTGTCTTGTAAATGGCTTTTTAATGGTAACAAAACCCCGTTCATCAATCATATGAACACAAGTCTATTTAATTCTCTTATAAGACTCCTCCTTTAACAGAGTAATGTCCATTAGTGATTATGATAAAACAAGTAGGACATTTCGTTAGCTCCTTTAATATGATATGCCCGTTGCATGAAATATAAAAGTGCAGGTATGTTTTGGAAGCCCAAATGATGGGTAAACTGTGACCACACGGGACAGAATGTGGTCAGCAATGTTTCTGATAGCCAGGATGCTGCCTGTCTTCCATGGTGTGGTTCCTGCAGTCTATTTGTCTTTGAAGTTAAAGACAAACAGTCCTTTAACCCAATACAAACATCCAGGAATACTTGAGGAAGATCCCACACGAAACATGTACTGTACAACAATACTTCGCCTCTGGAGGAAGTTACAAAATGAAATACTGTTTGTGCTGTATTCACACGTCTGTTTTTTTTTATCCTTTAACACATTTCTCTTTTTCCTTACATTTTCTAATGAATTCAGAGACCTTAATCGTCCTCTACACCTCTTGCAGGCAACTAAAGTGGTGCATTGGCGCATGAGCTTAAGAAATCGGTGCCTTTGTACTTGACATATGTAATGCTATACTAATCAGCACAGGAAGGGATGTGAATACACTGTGCTGAAAATATTTTAAACAGATATGATAAATAATGCAAATTTTGTGACGGTCTCAAATGCTACAGCAAGAAGGAATGGGAGCTGGCGTAACCAAGTGATTGTTGTGCTGTCAAATTGATTTACATGGAAAAGGCAGTCTAATTGCAACACTTAGCTGCTCCATCCTGATAATTCCAAGCAGGGTTACTGAAGGACACAAATGCAGTCTTATTAACGTGAAGGATTTCCAAGGCTTTTGGAAGTGGTGGCTGTTTTTGTTGCTCAAATGTGAAGAATTCATAACCACACAATTTTCTAGTGCCTCTGGGGACCTATCAAGCATCATGAGCATCTCAGCCCCTTTCCTAAACATTCACTGTTTAAAAGTTTAACATCTAGATATTATTTATGTTTTTTCATAACATACTAAAAGAATAGGAAAGGAAGTGTTGATGGGGGGGGGCAGCTAGCGGCAAACCTTCTTTTTTCTTTAATAATAAATGATGGATGTTTCAAATTAGAAAACAGTGCTGAGAAAATCCAATTTGGTCCTGAGCTTTGGAGGAGAGAATAAAAAAGGAGAATTCTGTATTATAGCCTTTTGCTTTAATGTGCACACAGGGGCTGAAGTATATGATTTAATGCATGTCGTGAAATGGCTGCTATTATGTACTATTAACAAATCAACCTGGTTTTGCCCGAAAGTGAATCTTTACTGCTCAGGAAGCAGTGGGTGGCCTTTCTTCACCGACGATTGATTTATAGTCCCTGCTCATAATCACATCAGGGTGAAATGAGTGGAAGATGTGATTTTTCTGTGTGTGTATCGGGGTGGCGGGGGGGTGTCCGTAAATTTTCATTTTTCCTGCGGAATAATTTTCTCCTATCTTTCTATTGCCCTCTGCTATTTTCCCCACTTTTCTTTATTTTTACTTGAGCCTTTCTACACATTCCTCTACACCCTGATTTTTTCTCCAGCTTTTAATCCTTTTCTTTTTTCTCCCTGCTTGCTTGTCCAACTTGCTCTCTCTCTACTTTAACCTTCCTTTATTGCCTTGGTTCCTATGTTACGGAAAGTTTTCCCAGTTCTTGTCATTCCTTGTTGCTGCTGGATTTTAGCTCTTTTTAATGAAGCCAACATGGCCATAGCTTTGCCACAGAAAGCATGTGCCAGGAGGAAGTCTGCATTTTCACTTTCATCATGGAGTGGGCCAAGGACTTTCAGTAATATCCCTGTGCACCACATTAAAAAATAAAAGGGAAACAGTCATTCCTTTTTAATGAACCATTTCCTTGGAGGGAGAATACAGAATGTAAAACAATAAAGGAAAAAAAGGGATTACCAGTAAAATGCATGTTTCCTCTTTTTTTATTGATATGTTAGTGCTGTAATGGCTTTTTACTTTGGAAATAAGCAAATAATGCACAGATGTGTTAGAATGAACTCTTCTGGTTAATTATTTAATCTCATATTGAATGACAATTATCTTTGGTTCCGTCTCCCAAAGGATCTTCGGTCAAGACTGAGCTCCACAGAGGACCAGATGCTGCTGGTGAAATCTGGTGGAACCATGCGCCACAGCAGTAATGTGAGTGTCCAGTTTGCTTCTACATGCTCACAGACACATCCATTGTTAGAGAGGAGGAATATGGAACTCAATATAAAGTTCTATTTTTGTTTTTTGTTAGAATGAGGCATTCCCGAGAATATTGGGTTGTATTTTTACAAAAAAGCTAATTGCATATCAAAATCCTCAATAACAATAAAACCGCTACAGTACATAGTTGCTTACATTAAATTGTCTGGGTTAGTTATTGCCAGTTTAACTCGACGTTGTGCTACCTGCTGGAACTCCCCAATTGCGATGCACCACTGGCAGAGTGCCTCCAGGGGTAGAGTCTGGATTAGCCAGGACTTTTGATTGTCGGAGAACTGGACACTTCTCTGACAACCTGGGCATCTACAGGCTTGCAGCAATGTCACTGCAATGACAACTCCAGTTTTTGCTAACCCTCCTGTATGTCACTATGGGGCTTGCAGCCTGAAGAAAATTGAATGGCTCGATAGATGGGTGTGTAGTGGGTATAAGCACCAGCTCTGTTGGAGTACTTTAAGCACCCCCATTATTTTTTATCATTTTGCTGTTAAAACAGGGGTGAATGCATTTTTGTTTGTGTTAGGGAGTTTGCTGCAGGTTTTACATACAATACTACTAAACTACTCTTGAAATCAGACTAGTTAGTTACGTTGTATAGGTTGAATCATGATTAACAGTCAGATAGGTTTGTTTTAATCATGATTCAATTAATTTGTCTTTTAATGACCTGTCAAGATGAAATTAGCATCATGAGTGGAACATGTTTGGGGGGGGAAAAAGTATGACTGCTGACCAAGAGCAAATTTGACAAGAGATTCATAATTTAAACAGATAAATTTGTAATTCGGTAAACTAGCTTTATGGAAAAAGAAATCACAACCCCGATATCTGCAATTAATTTGAACAGAAAGCATTTTTCCAAAGAGCTTAATGATGATGAGGAAGCCAGCACTGGGTCAAAATCTAAGAAAGGCCGGGCATTTCAGCCAAGTTAGAAAACAATATTCAGGTGACTCATCCTTAATTTAAGATGCAAAAGGTAGGTTTAATAAAGTTTTCTATAAAGGCTGCGTTTATGGAGAATGGATTTGACGGATGGCATCACGCGATAAAAAGGTTTTGAGAGCATGAACAATCTGACTGTCACCTTCTAGCAAAATAATGAACATACAAGATGTGTTTGCAATGATAAGTTCTGCCAAGAAAAATGAGTTGTAGTTCAGCGCTCCATTTTCATGGAGATTTTGTTGCACTCGATGCTGAAGATGCCATAAATATTTTCATTAGCAGGCCTTCAATGTGAAGGAACACTACTTCAGAACAATATGAAGGCTTCATTAATGGTAAGAACGGCTTTACCATCAATGAGCGTAATTGGAGGGCAGGGAAATACATTAAGGTGAATACATTTTAAGATGAGCATTCCTGATCATTTTCAAAGGTTGTATGAGCTCATCTTCCTTGTCCCCAAGCAATACAGGACATGCTGTTGTCAGCACCTTCTTAGCTCCGTAGGTCCGATTCGGTCAATCTCAAGCTGAAGGATTGCTGAGGCGAAAAGAACCAACTGGGAATTTGAAATTGGGTGGGTACGAAATGGGGGGGAAAAAATTAAAAACATGTTGTCAGAAAAGTTCACTGTGCACAATGTTACTCTACCCCAACCGGTATGATCGTGTGGTACTGAGGGACTAGGTGGTGGCCATTAGGAAGACTGTGGCAACCCCTCACTTAAAGATTCAGCACTCCCCCTGATAATAGGGCACGCAGTAAGACTGCTAAGCAATCAAAAGACAAGCACCAATGAGATCTAAAGTTCTTAATTCCACCTGTCTTAATAAGGATTCCAGAATATGGCAATGCTAAATAACCCTAGAATATAATGGAATCCCTGCTCTATTTCCAAATAGGCATTCCTATTTTCTCAGTATAATGCTGGTGAGCTCATTTTTTTTCATCTGATCATGAGACATGGTTCCTGTTGTCATTTCAGATATAGTTTGACAATTTCATGTTGTTTCTTCCTTGTAATCCACTCATGAAAGCAACATTCATGAAGGCAGTATTAAAGGGTATTTTTAACAGTGCATTCTGAGAGTACCAGTATGCGTTGGAATGGTAACCTTCAGCTGTTGCCTATGAATGTAGAGTTGTCTCCTGAACCACTTGTCTCACAGTAAGTGGTGGCAAGATACACTGATGTCTTCTTCCTGGCAGGGTTACTAGTGCCAGTAGCCTTAAATTTCCTTAAAACAGTCTGCAATGGAAAGTGGAAGATTCAACCTTTTGTGGATTTTCTGTAACAGTTCTAACCTGTGTAGGTTAATGACTTGCCTGCAGTCTTCAGTAGGCTCTCTGATCTTAAACATAATGATAACATGCCTTCAGCGAGCTGCTTCTGATTTTGCTCTTTGCAATGTTTTTACGATTACAATATATAGCATTTTTAGAATTGTTTTAATCAGCTAGAATTATGCATTCCACACTTCATTGTTAGTTTTTTTTCCTATTTCATCTTTTTTTTTTATTAATACCTACTTCAGATGTATGAATAAATCTGGAGGGCACTGGCCTTGGCTGTATATTAACTGATTATTTCAAAGGTGGCTCTTTTTTATGAATATTTGAAATGAAAAAAAGTTTTATAATAAAGGGTGTTTCGTAGAAATATAACATTAACATCACAATGTAGGGGTTTTTGTTCTTTATCCTAAAGTCAGTAGAAAAAGTAATTAAATGTTAATCAAAATATATCACAATAATTCCATGATTTAAAGATTATGATAAATGTTTGAGGTCTGCCTTCATGTAAGTCAAAATGGAAGGATCCTTATTAGTCAGAAGCAAGAAGGGTTATATATAAATTTGAACTTGACATGAATATCTCTCGCAAACACACGAGCGTTACTTCAGAAGAACTGATGAAAGCTGTTTTTCCAGATAAATCCTTTCTGGCTTCCCTCATCTTTACCGAAGACCACAAAAAAACAACTACCCCGTCAGTAGTATAAATATTAAATACTTGCAATTTCTAACCTAACACTAGACTCTGAAGATTTGAAAAGAGGAAATGGAAGCTGTTGAGGACTTGGAAATATGGGAGAGTTAGCCCTGAGCTAACGAGTGGTGAAAGAGCGTAAAACGTGTTGGGTAGCGAGGGTTCAGTTGGCATTGGTGAGCGTGTGTAGCAATCCTCTGCAGGGAACGCAGTTCAGCCCCTGCGGGACACAATGAGAGTGCCGTCATGGGCTCAGGCATTGACTGAACACAGGCACACTTCTCATGGGCTAGGGCAGATCTGAGATTTTCTTTTTCACGTAAGCAGTGCTCCGGTTCATTCCTGTCCGGCAGTGTTATCTAGTAGAGTACGAAAAACGTCCCTTTACACTCTTCACAAGTCTTATAGCATGTATTCGTGTGCGAAGTCAAAAACGGGGAAAGGCAAAACAATACAGGAGAGTTTTAAAACTTCTTTACAAGACTAGTAGTCAGATTTCCATAGGGAAATGTCTAGTTTCAGTGATCCTCTCTTAAAATGTGCAATCGGCTATACTGTAAGTGGTTATGAACTAAACATACTGTCTAATAGAAATGTGTGAATGGCATCTGTTTCATTCTGGTGCAATTTTAACTACTCAGCTACTCATGGGTGATAAGCCACCGAGGTACTTCTGTGGTATAATATGGTTACCTAGCAGTTTTCTTTTCATTCAAGGTGACTGCGTTTCTGATTCACAACTTCAAATGTTCAATCATAAAACCTGTTGAAGAGTAAAAGTGATTAACATTTTATGTTGCATCTCCTTCGGCGTTAATGCTTTCTATTGAGTCACACTCATCCTGCTGCTGTGGGTTTAATACTTAATAATAACACTATAGTGCTGTGTAGTGAAGAGACCTGCTGAATGTGTACTAAAGAACTGCTCTTTTTAGCTTTCCTGTATCTCGCCGAGTTGTTATGCTATACAGTCAAGTAGAGGTAGAGTTCTTTTATGGTGTCAGACGCATGTTATTTATACTATAGCTGCATGTCTCTGAAAAAACATGTATTAGATGGTTCAGCTGCAGTTCTTTCAAGTGCTCTCTTCTTCAGCTCCACAATCATGAATACCTTTCCTATGGAACCACAGTTATGACCACTGCTTGCAGATGCAGATTCTCCTACTAATAATTTCTCCTCATCTGGTTTAAAGGCTCGTTATCATGTTGTGCAGGTGATTGACAGTTGACCTTCATGCAGGTTTATAAAAAGCCAGTGAGACACTGCAAGTCACCACGATTGCCAGGCAACAGTGTATTAATACCAATCTGATAGAATTACCGGGCACCAATTAATCTGAAGTACCATTCTGGGCAGCATTTAAAGCTATAGTGTTACATATCGCTCCAGGTATTGAGGGTGATCTAACAGTATTTTTTTCCATGCTTACTCTACCCATAAAAGGTTACAAGGGAAAACATGAAAGCTTTTCAAATACTCAGATTTGATTACAAAGCTTGGCTGAGTCTGTCTGCTTCCTCATTTATACATCTAATAAAGAACGCTGCACATTTTATTGATTGCAGTTAAGTTGTGGAGTTTAAAAAACACGTGCCTGTGAGAAAACAGTGTACCCAGTGCGTGTGAATGTGTGCACTACAAATCTCAGAACTTAACTTAACGTTTCATTTCCTGCTGCTTTTACCACTAAACATATCTGAAAATTCTGAATGTCAAACAGAACTTATCAGAAATAATGCTCTTGTCTGATGTCCATCTTTCTATTATCAGAAGTTTGCTTATTTTTCATAAGGCCTGCAGAAACCTGCAATCTTTCCTGCACGTATTGGTTGTGAGGTGGTGACCCTTCTGTCAGTTTGTATACATATGCAGTTAGGAGTCCCCAGATGCCCTACCCACCATGTATTTGGAAAGTGGAAAGAAACTAGAGCACTTGGGATAAATCACATGGACAGAAGAAATATGCAAACTCCAGAATGAAATGTGTCTCATGCTGGACCCACAAGCTGAAAGACAGCAGTGCTAACAATACCACAAGCAGCCTTTGGAATTTGGTTATTTGGAAAAGATGCAGTGAGCACTGTAATATTATTTGGTAAATCCCAGCAGTGACTTCCAAGAGGTTCAGGACTAAATGTCAAGGTACAGTATGTAGTGTAGAAGAGAAGATGGAAGTGTTCTTCGAGCTAGGAGTGGAAGCGCTCATGGAGTCCACTCATTGTCCCTCAGCCTTCTCCAGCAACGATGAAAACAGACTTAAAACTCAGCCGCAAATCCAGTATACAAAGACGTGAGTGATTGAGAGAAAGAAGTATGGTGCCGTGGTTTACACAAAGTGATGGTGCCAAATGCATGTATGAAAACCCCTACTGCATGTTCCTTTTTATGGAAAAAAAAAGCAAGATTCTACATCACATGGATTTTTACATTACTTACACAGTGTAGACCTGCCGTCTCACTGTCCAGTGCCTTGCAAGACTTTATGATTAACTCTAATCAGCTTTTATATTACAGTAGCTGCAGTGATCAATGACTAGCTGGATCAAAGTCCTGCAGCGTTATGATAGATAGTTTCATGTGCTTTTGTTTGAAACGGACAGCATAAAGCAGTGGTATGACGCAGCTCTCCTAACTTTTTCATAACATTTGGCAATTGCCTTACATTTGGTCTTAATGAGAAACTTTCTCATACACGTCCTTGAGGCTTGTATCTGTTCTCATGGTGTTTCCTCTGCCCATATGTATAGACTTGGCTAATGTTTTACACTTCGTGACAAAGCAGTGTACGTTCAGTTTAAGAAAGGGTTTGGTACATTCAGGACTTTTTTTTTATGCTAAACCCCTTGAAGGGTAATGAAGTTATTTGGTTCTAGTTTGCCTTGCAGCATTTGAACTTGCTCTCTGGTATTCCCATACACCCTTACAAACCAAATTGGGCATGGGAGTATTCGTAAGGCACCCAGTCTGTGACACGATGGAGGTGAATTGGAGAGACAACAAGTGAAGGCAGGTATTATGCATTGTTGTCCTCAGGAGAAGCTTATACGATGGTTTTCTTGCTATCAAATAAAATGTTTCCGAAAGTAGTCGTATAAAAAAAAAAAAACAACCAGAGAAAGAAACTAGAGCGATAATGTTACTGAGAATCAGATCGTCTCCAACAACCCTGTAGACCGTAAAGAGAATGCGGCAGAAGCTCTCTACAGTTTTACTCTGCACTGAAGAATATGAGCTGCATAATAATCACCTCTCCTTATGCATATTAATATAAAAATATTCTGCATAATGTGTATTCCATGTGACATGCACAGTTGAATACAGAATGCCGTGGTTCATCTCAGTCACTGCGCTCTATTTTGCCGAATTTGAATAAAAATAATTTATGTAGACATTCCTACATACAGGAATCTCCGATTTAAAGCACTTGCCCCCACCCCACCCCCCCATCCCCACCTTCTTCCTGCATATCCATTTCATAAAGCGTACAGCAGAGGTATGCGATCCCAAACGACATTCTCGTTACTCCCCTCTCGTCTCATTAGAGCTTTCGGAAGAACTACAGCGACATCTGCATGATTCCAAGCTCCAGAACGCCAGCCTCATACCCAGACCTCAGCACTGCCGCAGTGGAAACCAGCTCAGCCTTTCAGCCATCATTAAAGAAAATTATTAAACGGAGCTAATTGTTCAGTGGAGAACCTCATTCAATTTGAATATTCATATCTCCATGCCAGTGGGAGGTAGGAGTTGGGGGGTAGAGGAGGAGGAGGAGGAGGAGGAGGAGGAGGGGGCAATTTTGGGCATGGGCAAAGACTTGTCTTTCATGTTTCTGAAGGCAAATGCAATTTACAATGCAATTTACCCTGGAGTCAGGTTTTTTTTACACTAGCTACAGCTTCGCGTCGACAATGCAGGTGATATTTCCTTTGACCCTCGTTTTCTCCTGTTTTTTTTCGCATTTCTAGTTAGAGAGCTGTTGCTCCCTGCCTCTTTCCTTGAAAAGGAGATTAATATACAGTATGTACTTTCAGAAGAGCAACACTATTGCTTTGTCTTTCCTTAATTCTCCTTTTATAAGTCAGGCAGAGTTAGGATTGATCCAACCCAATGCGATGCTCATGCTGCCTACAGTTCTGAATCCCTACCCCTCAATTAATACTTGGTGCATGTGTGTCTGTCTAGGGCGCCAACAATACCCCCCTTGTGTCCTACACAAAAGGGTGGAAGGAGAGAGAGAGAGGAGGGGGGCCAAGGAGGCATTTTTGAATCCGAAACAATGGATTAATCGCCTCTAATGATTTAATACAGGCAATCAGAAACTAGGCGGGCATGCTAATTTGTGTGCATAAATTATAAGGAGACTGTTTTTCTCTGCGGGGGAGTGCAGGGGCTTGTTTTGTTTTTCTTTCCCGGGAAAAGGAGGGGAAAGGCTGTGACAGGGTGCCCACAGCGATTCCCACACACAGCCCGTGCCCTGCGCCCCGCCGCCTCTCTCTCGCCCCCCGGCTCGCCTCTTCGCCCCTTCGCTTGCATCCCCATCTCTTCCCATCACTGATTTCAAGGAGGAGGCTAAAAAGAGCAATATGTATCGGCGGCTGCTAATTGTGCCAGTGGGTAACTTAAATAAGGCAAGGAGTATTCCGCACAACACAGTATTCACAACATGCCAACACGCTGTTTTGCGCAAAACTTGAGAACTCTTTAAGTGAAGGCTGCTGAGAAACCCGTTTTTTCATTAGACACTGCCTCATCCACGATTTCAATGTTAAGTAACAAAGTACCCGTCCACCAAATTTTGTAATATCATCCCGAGAGATATGTGCATTATATATGCATTACACTCTTACAGACTGTGACGTTTTAAATGATCCAACTTGGAAAGGTTGAACGTTTTTTTTAATTAATGTTGCATTAAAACCAACTGGCAAACGCGTGGCTCTGAAAATTGCCAGAAAATAATGAGTCGTTCTCTTTTTTTTTTACACTTTGTGCTGCTCCACACACTCCCTCTCTCGCTCTCAGCTGCCAGTTGCCAGTGTGCCTTAGCGATTTAATGATATGCAAATGAAATATGCATAAAACCATTCTGCTGTATGATGATTAAACACTGAAGACATTAGCCAGTGCCCCGCCACAGTCTCTGTTGTTGTCTCTTCGGTATTCCGTTTGCCCGCTTGCAACAGCACTGTAATAACTCTTAGTAATAAATTTAAGAATATGATAATTGTAATAGTAGTAATCTCCAAACGGAAATAAATTCCATGCAGCTTTTCATTCTCATGTTTTTTTTTTTAAATCCAGCAAAGAAAACAGCATCTTCCATGGAGAAATGTGACCGTAGAAAGAAAATGAAGCCAGATTTTTTAAGAGTTGAAGAGACTAGCATAGCCAAGCATTGCAGGAGCTTCTGTGGTTGTTTGCCAGTAGTGTGGCATTATATGAATGCAAGCTGAAAGAGAAAAAAAAATCTCCTTCTTTCTCTCTCCTCCTCCTCTCCATTCTGCACTCTGTTGCGTGCACTCCTTTTTTTCTCGTTTTTTTTTTGTACTCCATTTGTATAATGAAGACGTGGCACAATTAACATCCCCCCTGGAATTAAAATAAAAGGCCAATAATCCAAACCTCATTAGCTCCAAAAGATTATAATTTCCATGCACGTTCCGCGCTGAAGAGAAATTTTTTGAAAAATTAAATCGTAATTTTGTACTTGTGACGAACCCGCTTTAAGCAGCGGGGGAAATGCCCAAAAGATGCCATCTTTTAATAATCCATCCTTAATGGTGGCAGTCGTGGCTCTGTCATCTTGGTGGTGATGCCAGAGCACTGCAGAAGCACAAAGATTCCTTTCCTGTAATCCCTCCCTTTGGATGACTTCTTTAATTTATAATCCATATCTGTGCCCCCCCCCCCTTCCCTCAAAAACACAAAGCCAAGAAAAGTTTCTGATATCCAAAAAGTGGCGATTTTTTTTTTTCCCAGCCGCCGCGGCAATTAATTTCTGTTTGTAATTCCTTCTTCCTTCAAATAAATTTTAAGAATAAATCGCCTTCCTCGTGCGCTTCTCTCCGCAGTGTCGCCCATCTTTGGCTCTGCGCCCGATGCCAACAGAGCACCCTCCGGGAACCACGGCAACGCTCCCCGGCACCCCGTAAGTAACTGAACCCGCAACCCCTGGCTGGTACTTCTGCGTGCGCGTGTGCCCGTCTGTCTCCCCCAAACCCCCCCCACCACCACCACCAAAAAAGAGAAAAATGGAGGGGGGAGAGGTTGGTAGTTTCTTGGTTGGTTGGCAAGCAGGGGGCAAAAAAAAAGGGGGGTGGCGAAGCTTTCCCACACGCACACCCCCCCACCCCCCTTCCGCTGGGTTCCCCTTGCACCAGGAGGGCTATCGCCGCGGGTACCTCCTCCCGAATCTGTGCTGTGTGCCGCCGCGGTCCTCTCTCCATTCTGTCTGTGCCCCCTTCTTGAAGTTAGTGCACGTCTGTTGTCTGTGTGGCATCTCTCTGCTTGTCTCCCATACTGGTGGATGCTGTATAGAGACTACAGCCTGAGCCATTCATCTCCCTGGTGATAGCTGTGAATGTAGATAAATCGCACACTCCTGCCTGCCTCCCTCTCATGCTTTTGCTTTGCTTTGCTGCAGGAGTAGAGTTTCATACTTTGTTCCCCCCCCCTTAAGAAGTTGATCTTATCACGCCGAAGTGGTTTAATTCCTCATACCTGGGTGAGACCGTAAGATAAAGGAAATGCCCGTTTCTCCAATAAAATTAAAATCTTTGCAGCTTCACCAAAATAGTTTGCAGTACTGTCACAGTCTTTTTCTTCAGTTCTCTTTTGAATCACGGATGACTTTTTTCTAGCTGTTTATTAGTATTCATCCTCATGTTTGCAGATTTGTGTGTGTCTTTTGTAAACAGCTGCTGCCGAGCCATTGGCACAGTCCCTGAGGTCCTTTCTTCCTCCCTCCTTTCTTGTTGTGAGCGGGCGATTGGCAGATTGGCAGCGACTGCGGCGGCGGTGCCCATGGCAGGCATTCTTCACTGCGGTGGCTGGCTGGCGGCTTTTCGGGAGGTGGTAGATTGAGTTCGGGGGGGCCGGGGGGAGTTGGCACAAAAAGCAGCAGCGCCCAATTCTTAAGATCCCCCCCCCCCCCCCGAGCTCCCACCCCCACCCCGGTCGGCGTTCCGCTTTTGTTTATTCGCTTTGTTGTTTTTGGTTTTAATCCGTTCCCCCCTTCCTTTGGCGCCGTCGTGCTAATTAACAGAACAAACTTTTGTTTTAATTAACCGTCAGGAGCGGCGTCTTGTCCTTGTTTGTTCTTCTGTCTTTATCTCTGCCAGCCGAGCCGCGGCGGGCACGCGCCGCCGTTTTGTTGCGTTCCCTGTTTTTTTTTCTGTCAGCATCCCCCCCCCCCCACCACCACTCTCTCGTTCCTCGACAGATGCCACCAAATAAGCGGTTGGCAGGCTTCTGTCCGCTCCGGGGTCTGCGCTTCTCTCCTGGCATCGCCGGCGTCCCAGAGTCGAAAGGAATCCGTCCGCGCCGTTTCCCAAAGAAAGGTTTTATATTCCATTTCCTGCGAATGCGCCACCTCTGCCAGCGAGCCTGTTGGCATGGCGTCCGCTGGCTGGCTGGCTGGCACAGGGAATTGCGGTTGAGAGGGAGAGCACGGGAGGGGAGGTGCTTCTCTACATCCCTCCCCTCCAACACCACCAACACCACCCCTCGCCACCTCCAAAATAAAATCGCCAGTTTTTGTAGTGTCTCCCCCCCCCCCCGCGTTGTTTCTGGTCCCCTTTGGCATAGCTCATCGTTGTGTCTGCCGCCTGGCGCCGGTCCTTCCATAGACACTTCCAGCTTCTCCTCTGGTGGCGATCGGGTTCAGGTTGTCACCCCCCAACAACTGCCCCTTGGGTCCGTCCCCAAAACTCACCTCTCTCTACGACACCCACAGCAAATGCAAGGCAACGGATTTCTTTTTTTTTTTTTGCTTCCTTCCTGGTTTAAGTTTAGGTTGAGCTTTAGGCTCCTTACCAACAACCCCCCCCCCCAGCCAGTGGTAATTTTCTTGTTTTCGGTATGCCCCCCTCCAGATCTCCACCCCTCTTTTTAGCGAGACCGACCATATAGTGCGGGGGTCTCTCTTTCTCCTCTGTAACATCTTCCCGTTTTCTGCTAGTGAACACAAACCGCCTTGGTGCTACCACTGAATGGATGGCACTGTGCCAGCTTCTTACTGCCATCATCCGCATTCGCAGCTTGTCTCTCTTGCACTCCCTCCCTCTCTCTTACCCTCCCTCTCTCTCTCCTACCACCCTCCCTCCCTCTCCTGCCTCTCTCTTCCTCTTTTCCTCTCCCCCCCCCCCCCCTTTTTTTTGGTTCTATAGGCTTGACATTAATTAACATACGGGTTAATTGATTCTAAAAGCTGATGAATTGCGCTTAACATTTCCCATAGGGTAGGTAGCCCACCGCCTGCCCGCGCGCCCGTCAGCCTGGCACTGCCTGTTCTCTGCTTAGCCTTGTCTCCACACTGGCGCTGGTTGAGAAACTGAGAGCCCCGCAGCTGGCGTCTGAAGTGTAGTGTTAGCCCTGACTGTACTGTACCCTACTGTACTGTAAACTGTGAAGGATCTCAAGCTGCTTATTGGACTGGAGCTGATCGGAGTTGACGTTTTGCTGTCTGATCCCACCACAGGATGTTGCGATGGCATTTTGTTATAAATAATCAAAGTCCTCACAACCCCCTACCCACCCCTTTTCTGTCCCTCCCTCACTCTCGCTCTCTTTTTCTTGCACAAGCACACGCTAACTCTCACACATAAACACTTCTGCCTTTTCTCTCTTTTGGTGTCAGCCCATCTGGTTTTGAAGCGAGGAAAGATGACGTCAGGAAGCTTAGGAACAGGTTTAATTGAAGTTTGCAGATGAAACAGAACTGTTGTTTATCTCCATAAATTTGTATTATTTTATTTTTGTAGTAATTGCTGCCACGGTTCTTTCCGCAAATTAGACAGAATTAGCTATCGCTGTCATATTTGATTAAGTAATTATTGCTGTCACTGTGCTTTATTCTTCCCCCTTCCTTTTTTTTTTGTGAACGAACGGAACTGATGAGGTTAAAAATAGGAGGCAGTGCTGCTTTTAATTATTTAATAATGCACCCCCACCCGCTCCCTTCCTGGCAGTGCCCCCTCTCCACTCGCGAGGGTCTTAGCACGATCGCTAATTGGCCAGGCTGAAACCTGCAATAACAGGGAAGGTAGTTTTACACTCATTAAGGAAGAGAAACATGCATATAGACACATAGACAATAGAGCAGCCCCTGCTGTTTAGGATGCCCTGTCTGTTTGTCTGTCTGTTAATTGAATGCGTCTGATTCCAGATTTTGTCTTTCATATCTTGCGGAAATTGATGTCAGCGCTGTGAAGTTTGAATAAGGGCAGCTATCTGCTGAAGCTTAAATGAGCAGTTTGTTCTTCCTGTCTTAGTTGCCTCTATTATTTCCCCTCTCTTTCCTTTTTCTGGAAGTGACACGAGCAGCAGCGGTGAGATTGGGAACTAGCACATTTCTGTGCGATTCTGAAGCTCGCTCTTCTTTTTTCCCCTCTTTGTTTTTTATTATTAAATAAAAAGAAGCATGAAGCAACTGAGGCAACAAGAGGAATCCATTATGCAAATCGACTTCTATTTGCATAATGTCTTATGCCTGGAATATGCAAATGAAGCGTATAATTTATGAGTGCCTGTGTCTGTCTCAAAGTGTTCCCATAACTTACAAAGTGGAGCTTTCTCTTTTTTTTTTTCTTTTCTGTCTCAGAGCTGGCATAGACAACAGACACATACAAAACAAGCACGCACTGTATGCTTACAAAGGGTGTGTGCTTGTGTATTTCAGAGTGGGAGAAACTTGTTCTCGTCAGTGAGGGAGCAGGGACTGTGGAAGGGATGTGGGGGGGGCTTCACAAAAAAGTAACTGCAGCTCATATTCTGTTTTAAATTACCTCGAACACAAAAAGCAAATAAAACCACAGGGAATGGCCGTCCTTTTCCCGAGGAAGTACAATTTTGTTTTGTTTTTTGGTGGAAAGTTTGGTTTTCCTCTTGGTGGCTTTTCCTCGAGTCAGTCCGTCTGAGAACAGCAGAGGGGCAGGAGAGGGAGAGAGGAGAGGCTGGAGGGAGTGTGGAGACGGGATGTGAAGGCATTCTCGTGCGTTAGCTCAGCTCCACGCGGTGCTCTGGAGCAGCAGATCCTGCAGATGGAGAACCCTGGAAAATGACAGCGGGCGGCGTGGCAGCAGAGAACTGGGGGAAGGAGCCGCAGAAAAACCTGGATACACGCGTGTGATCTGAGCTCTTCTTGCCCGTTGTGCTTCTCCTCCTTGCTGATTTTAATTGCCGGCCTATCGTGCATCTTATGTTAATGTCTCGGGCAACAATAACACATTGTTACACGGACACAAAAACAAAGCGCCGCCCTTCGCCATGCTACATTGTAGTCTAAAGTAGGTAACAAACCAACTTTGACTTGTTCTGCTCTTACCGGGACTCTCTCATCCTTAGGGCCATGTCTGAAGGAGAGCTTTTTTTCTCCCTTGCTTCTGTATTTTATCGCAGCAGCTGCTCAGTACTCCAGATCCTTTTCTCTTTCTGTGTGCGGCACTGGCAGTCATGGCTGCCAGCCTTGGGACTTACTGTGCCCGGCTCCCCAGAGCCCAGGGGGCATCTCCGATCTCTGGCGCTTTTCTCTCTTGGACAGATGAGGGCCGGGAACAAGCTGGCACCCCAGACCCACCACAGTGTGCCTACCTCTCCCATCCCCTCCTCAGTCAGTCGCTGTGCCTTGCGTTCACCTCCTGGATTTTGAGCACCTTACAGTCTTTTTTTTTTTTTTTTATTCTCGGAAACCTGTTTTTCAGAACAAACCAGTGCATGAAAAAAACAAAATAACGCATGGAAATAGGAAATATCCTCTTACAAATTTAATTTGTTGTGTACTCTTTTTCTGTCTAAGAGCATTGCTGTTTTGTGCCTCGTGGGGATCCTGCTAAAGCAATTATTAATGAGGAAGTTGAGATAATTTTCCAAAAGCATTTAATTCATTGCCTCTTCCACTGACTCTCATTCATTTAAGCAGTGCACATTTACCTAAAATAATTGGAGTGTGGTGCCGTTTTTGCAAAACTATTTTTGGAATTAACATTTAACCGTCAACATAATTAAGTGAAGGAGACTGATTATTTATATGCAAGTGAACAAGCGACAGAAGATCAGAGAATTGATTTGAAATGAGAAACATTCTCCACTCTCACACATGCAATCACATAAATACAAGAATCTTGCATTGAAATAAGCTTCAGTATGTTTAATTTTAACATCTATTTTTGTGTAACTTTTAACTACTGTCTTATATTTTAACAATAATAAAACAATTTTACAATAGTTTAATTATTTTGTAAAAAAGCTTTGTACACACCCTAAGAACTGTTGACTAAGGAAGAATCAAAACAAAAGTAGACCCAACATTTTGTTGATTAGGACCTTCATCTGAAAGTGTAAAAAGTAAATGATTGCATCACCAAATAAATTAGATTTCTCTGCCTTTCTGTTGGATTATTTGAATGTTAACAATTTCCGTTTCATTTCATGTTTTAAATATTCTAACAAGTTGTTTGAGACTTGTTACTCTGCAAAATCATATTTGATTTTGAGCCAATTTTGTTAGTTACGTATAAATTGTGTTTAATCATTGTGTTGTAGCTTTGCAGAATGATTGCAAGCTGATCAGAAAAAGATCTTCTGTTTTAAAGTGATAATGTTCCTTTTTTTTTAATCAAATCTAAGTTGCTAGTTTGATAGTATGGCCTTCACTGGCAAATGTTGCCCTCTCTGGAAATTATATTTGCGTTATGTACAGTACACAAGTGCATTAGCCTTCTGTAGTCAGTTGTGTATGTGCAGAGTTATTCTAGAAAGGAAGTGTTAAATGGAAAAGAAAGCATTACTAAACTCTTCAGAGACACCCTAAATCATAACAGAAAAATATTCACGCACAATGGAAAGGAAACTAAGTTATATGATCTTAGTTGTTTCTTTTCTTTTCTTTTACAAAAATAAATGTTGCAAGCATATTGGATTTAGAGATTTTGTGTGTTTTAGAAATTTTTCTAAGAAGCTGGATTTAATAAAACAATTCACAAATTATTTAATCTTCTCTGGCTTTCTTATCCTTTGTATAAAGAATGAGGAAGATTTTGTAAGGAAGATAGAACAGTGAAGCAGTGGGTAAAAGTTTGGTATTACACTGTGGTTTCTAAGACAAAATCATAACGCTTGCTCTGTTGTACATTGTTTATATTATTCTACAAATGACTTTACTGATAAAGTACTTAAATAATTTTAAATATTTACATTACTTATCAGAATTAATTAAAGCGGTAGATATAAGTATCTTTAGTTCATATTTCGTTTGAATTGTGACACTTTTAGAAAATAGTTTTGTATTTAGGTTGACTGTAAACAGTCTGAAATTTGAATGATGTTTTTAGTTGGTTATTTTATTTGATGATGTTTAGGACCTGTATACTTGTAATTTCCAGCTTTCAGCTCGTCTTAATTTATATTTGTTAGTCACAATATTAGTGACTTTCACAAAGTTTCTGACTACCCCAGCTTCTGGATTATATTACATGCATATATTAGAAGCCTATTTTTCTATTCTCTCTTCTCTTGCCAATATACAAAAAATATGATTTTTTTTATTTTTTGAAATGTTATATTTGTCACACATTATTAAGAAATAACACATTAGCATAATAGATTTTTAAACCTGTATTATTTTGATTTTGATTATTATCTACAATTATACTTGTTTCCAATTCCGTGATTAACTGATGAAAAAAATGATGCAGTCTTTGCCAGTTGGCCTGGAACTTTAGCAAATATTTATGTTGCAAATATTTATTTTTAAAATGTTGCACAGGACAGAAAAAATACCCTAATAAATTAGACAGTTCTTAATCTCTTATATTGAATATTATTTATATATAATAACATGAGATTCGTGTTTTTGGATAATTTGTTTTGACAGAATGTGCACATTAACATACATCGTGACATAAATAGCTCGTTCAGTATTTCATTGCCAAACAAAACATTACAGTGCATAAAAATTACGAGTCTCTTTTATACAAGATTTCTGTACAGCCTGCGCAGTTACTCTAATCCATTATGTCTAAATCTAAAAGTAGAGTTCTGTTAAGACAGTTTTTTTTATTTATTGGGAATCTAGCTTCTCTGGACTGTCCACCAGATTCTAAGAATGAGCTGAGATAAGATTTTATTTGTGTTACTTTTGGGGGCATAAGTATGAATTTCTAATATTAGTATTACTAATATTAGTAATACTAATACTAGTATTTTTCTATTTGGCATAGCACTTGAAATGAGGACGTTGAAAATGATAGTGATTTGGAGCTTGGCGGTAGCTTACAGTAGAGGAATTAAGTAAAAGCTGATTTTATTTTTAATTTTTACCCCAACATCTGAAATTAATATACCTCAATTATAATGATTGTTTAATTCCAAGTAAATGTAAACATATGGTTTAACTTTGACCTTGTTTTTGATCTGCAGACAAAAGTTGTCATTTTGTAAAAATATGTTTAATTCCCTCTAAAGCTGCAGTTGATTCTTGGCTATAGAAGTTGTATGGTTAGTAGGGCTGTTGCTCCTGATTTTAAAGCTCACATTTTTAACTGAGAATATTTAGTAAATACATTAAGTTATCTTATAGATTCAAAGGATGGCATTGCTTAACAGTTTTCTCATTTCTGTAATGAGAGTGTTTTGATTGTATTGTTGAGTTAGAAGAAAAATTCTGTTGAAATTTTAAGGGGCTGCCGGTGGTTGGGTTGAACAACTACATCTGTAATGCCTAGCGGGGTATATAGATTTGTGCATTTTTCAGAAACACAGTAGCTCGCCGAACTTTGTAAGAAAGTTTTAATACTGTTTATAAGGAAATAAATAGTATTATAGTAAAATAGTATTAAAAATCCTTTTAAATAGTTAAATGAATTATAGAATCCATTTACAATATCAGAATGTGTGTGTACAGGTGTGTTATTTGTTGATGTAATTTTATTTTACTTTTTTACCAAATGTTCATAGAGGGTCCCAGAGAGCACTTCTCATGTCCTTCACACACTCCCTAAAAGTCCTCCATCCTAAAGCAATATGTTTTCCACACTGGTTTTCCCCCAGTGTAGCTGTATTCCTCCTTTCTCCTGTGGTTTTAAACTTTTTCCACTGTGAGCCACCTCACCTTGTCAACACATTTCCACTGTCTTTTTGATTGGCCTTTGGGTGCCTTTTTTCATTGGCATCATTCTATAACGGCAGGTGTGAATGTCAAGCCTCATTCAGAGTTTTTCATATAAGAAAGGTTATGAGGCCATTCACCCCATTTACTTGTTTCCAGTAGCTAATTCTTCTAAAGATCTCATCCAGCCAATTGTTATAAGAAGCCAGGAATGTCTGTGCAACTTCCAGACTCGCATAACTTTTAACTTTGTGTAAGAAAAGGCCTGTTCTTTGTGTTCAAGAAAAGTACTTTCATGTAGTGTCCACTTGTGATCCCGGGTTCATGATTTACTGGTACTGAAGACATCTGTTGGGTCGTCTTCATCAGTGCCTTTGTGGTTTTCAGATGCTTGAATCACATCTTCTCCTCGTCTTCTCATAGTCTTCTATATTCCAACTCGTTGTTCAAGATTTCAAAGGTTTGAGTTTTTTTAGCCTGTCAGAAAAAGACATTCCTTTAATCCAGGGTATGTGTATGGTTGTTTTTCTCTTGTTTGACTCAAGAGCAGCAATATATTTTTTTATAACATGATGACCAGAATTGTTCTCAGCCTTATGAATGTGGTTTTACTGATGTTCATGGTATTAGTAAATTGAATATCAAATCAATCAATCATATGATTTAAATGTTGTGCCTTAAAACACAACTTTCTAGAATAAACAGATATAAATGAAAGTTTAGGATGGATTCTCCACAATGTTTTGAAAATTACAAAGAGGTGTCAAGATAAACTGTCAAGCCTTTTTTATAAGTAGATTCTTCTGTTATATTGCATTTTAATCCTTGTATTGTGGTATCATCTACAAACTAGTTTGTACAACCTACAAAATCTAATCTAATTGTAAATATTTATATGACTGTTCCCAGCCTCTCATCCATAGCGTTCCACCTGGAGAATCCAAGTCACAGTTGGTTATTGACCGACTACAGGCTCGAGCCTACAGTATCTGCACTGTAGAATTCAACCCATACTTGGGCAAGTAGTTTTACTAATTGAGCAACTCAGAAACCCTAAGAATGAATCTTATGACTAAGCTGATCAAAAGCTTGCTGAAAATCTAAATACACCATATCGCGTGCTCCTTGTATCCTTTATTACTCATCTAATTGAAGTCATCTCAGTTTTTTGGGGTCAACAGTACCTGAGTGCTTTCCAAAATCTCACTTTTCGTTCTTCTCCATATCAGGTACATTTCAAGAACACAGCAATCTGATATAAAAACAACATAGTTAATCCAGTTAGTTATTTTTTTGTACTTTTTGTATTGTTCCAGTGATATAGCGCACCTTTCACATTGCATGCATTCTCTTGGATCAACTAATAGTTTATTAAAAGGCTGTCTCTGTAGGGCTCATTTCTTTGCAGTGGTCCCAGTGTAATAGTTAAAACTAAAGCAAGTTTACAGTTTCCTTTCTGAAATAATTGAGTAAAGTGAAACAATGACTCAACAATACAGCTATCAAAATGTATGTTTTTGTAATGTAAATATATGCAACAGTTAGGTGATGAAAGAATTGTATTTATTACGCTTTTAGTTCTTGTTACTGGAAGGCAGAAGTATAAGGAGCAGATGTTTTCATTTTTTTAAGAAGAAGCTCTATTTTTAACAGGTTTGTTATTATTGCCTATAAAGTAGGGCTCCCTGTGTCTTGTGCTTGAGGGCAAAAGTCCAACAGGTGTTTGTAGGACTTCTTAAATCATCACCAACATGAAAGAGTTCAAATTAACTCTCTTAAGACAAATGTAAACCTCCTGCACACGTGTGAAACTGCTGGTGATTTTAGAAAATGTACAAAAACTTGCTGGGTCACATTTGGAAGCCTGGTTTTAAGAAATACTTTGGCGAAGGGTTTTACAACTGCACTTCTCAAAAACAAGTGAGGATGTTTAAATACAGAAAATAAGGGTCCATAATCTATGAGAAGAACTTAATTCTGAAATAGTGTAGTTATAGTAAAAAAATGCCACAAACCATCAGAAATGTTCTCTAATATAAATTGAAGTACATAAAATATTTGTTTTGTGTTACTCTTCTTTTAAATGCCCATTGCATTAAACAGTTCCATTGATCAAAAGAAAAGACTCCCACAAGATTAAGAAATAATCCTAAGAATGAACGTCACCTCAGGGAGTCCAGGTTGGTATGTGTTCTGGAGCTGAAAGCCAAAAATAAGTGTACAGGATTACAACTCGTTATTTTTCAAGTCCACAAAAGAAAAACATATTAATCCAAAAATGTTAAAGAAACAATATATTGGGAAATACAAAATTAAACACAGTAAACAGTAAACACGAAAACTGGAATACACAAGATACATTCTGTTTTAATTATTTCCAGAGCAATTTTAAATAAAAACAATTCCTTTATCAATGCAAAAATGGTATATAAGAATATCATTCCCTATCCCAAGTACCTTTTCTCACTTTTAATTTTTGCTTGACACTTTTATGTAGTATTGCTAAATAGTTCAATAATTTTAAACACAAAATTTCCTCTTGCATCTTCTGGAAAACAGTAGTTGTTACAGGATAAGAAGGCAAAGGTTTATAAGATACAAAGATAATCCTGTGATTAACTAAATCTACCTTTTCGATATTTTACCTTGGGGTGTAATGTGTTCAAGGTTTATCGAGCTTGTCTGTTCTCATTATTATTTGTGTTTGTTTATAAATGAGTGTCCTGTTACATTCAGTTGTACGACTGAGCTTATTGTGTGTTTGCTGTAATTTGGATTGGCAGGCTGTCTATTTTTATTGTCCCGCATCTTGGAGAGCCCCCCTGGGTGTGTGGAAGTACTGTACAACTGAGAGATTTACTTGGGTAAAAGCCCACAGACCTGAGGATATCTAACTAGACGGCCATCCCTCAGCAGCTTATGGGACCGGAATTATCCTGGAAATTCCTCGGCTACTCCACGTCACCAATGCGGTCTTAAAAAGCAGACATCAAAAAATGAATATCACAGTAGAGAGGAAGTAATGATACAATTTTATAGCTTGCCTTTGCCACTGGAGTCCACCTTCATACACCAAAAATCTATCAAGTGTTAAGCTTGGAATTAACTACAATTAAGGAAAGAATTCCTTTTTTTTAAAATGCTTCTTTTTAGATCTGCCAGGAAGGGTTTTTCAGTCCTTCAGATTAGCTACCCAGGAAGGAAACACCTGGAGTCATACTCACAGCATCCACGATCATTGGATGCGCTCTTCCTCTGTTGCTTTGGTTTACAGCAGCTCTATCATTCGGAAAGCTAATAAGGGGTCCACATACCTTTCCATCCCACCAACTCCTTTTATAAACTCCTCCGTTCGGGAAGGAGGGTTCCAAGAATCAAATGTAGTCAATTCCAAAATAGTACCTATCCAAGGGTGATTAGGGACCTCATTATGTAGATCTTGGATTTTGTTTCGCTGTTTTATTATTTGGGCTGTACTGGAGAAACTTCCAATCAGCTTTCTTGACATGGCAATACATATTGAATTGGCCCTACACATATTTATTTTGTTCTCCAGCTCGGGGCAAGGTCATGAAGAATATCTTGAAGACTTTAAGGCCCAGATGTCTACTCAGGAACACCTGATACACAAGCTCCATCAACAGCTCCAGGAGGTCACTCTTTCCCAAGAAGAGACCCAAGCCAAGGTGAGCAATCTTCATGTCAAGACGGCTCATGCTACAGCAGAAGCTCTCTTTGACTTCTGCCTTTCCCAGTTTCTTCTGTATGAAGTCCAGGGTCGGGTCTGGAATGTGTAGCTTATTCAGATATTAAAAATCTTAAAGCGTGAAGATTGCTTCAGTCCAGGCCGCCAAAATATTCCGGAGGTTTGGGTGAGTTCAGAAAAAGTTGTTGTGCAGAAGAAAAAGTTGTTGAGCGTTGAAAACTACTGTACCAAGCTTTCCCCACTTCCTTTAGAACAAAGTGTGTGTCTCTTATGGCATTCTGTTACTTGCTTAACAAAGATGGTGTACACTGAGAGCTAAAGTGTTGAAAATGTGATACGTTGCCAAAAGAACTGAATACAGTAGCGATGGACCACCATAACTTACTTGATTTATTGTTCCAGATGGGAAATATTAGGACAGCTTCAATTAAAGTTCTGTATAATAAAGTCATTGTTGTAGTACACACATTAAAAGAGTGGAGTTTTCTTAGGAAGAACAATAACTGTTTGCTTTTCTTACATAAGGCCATATTATTATTATTAGGATCGACAAAAGCTGACCTAAAAAGACTGCATGTCTGTTATATAATTGTTTGACAAGTGATTTTGGAATGCAGCAGTTTCCAAAAACTTATTAGGGCTATTTAACAGGCACCTGTATGTAATGGTGTTTCACAGTGAAAGACATTTAGTCGGAGGTAGAGCTTGACCAATGAGTAGCAGCAGCCACAGAGGCAGTGATTTGTAGAGTGTTCTTATTTTTTGTAGAGGTGTTTAAATGAAAGTCACAATCACAGCCTGGGCATTAAATTAGCGTTTTGTCAGAATGTAGTTAAGGTGCGATTGTCCCTAAGTCACTTCCAATTCTGGTGGCAGTAGTGGGATTATACCCATGGATGTTCCCGTGGTGTCCCACAATGGAGTTGAGTACAGCCTGTTCAAATACATATCTCAGATGATCTTTAAAATATTATTATTATTATTATTATTATTATTTTATTATTATTATTAATATCCATTGGATCCATACAGACCACAGGGTAGGTGCTCCCTGCTGGTCCCACAAACACCTAATCCATCAGAAACCTTAGCTTTCCCAGAAGGACTCCCTGCCAGGTACTGGCCAGGCTCATATCTGATTAGCTTCAGTGGGTTTCTAGTTGTGAAGACAACTGCTTACACAATGCTTGTAAGTGCTCACCTGCTTAGACAGTGTTTGTAAAATCTTATTTCACGGTTTCCACATACTTGTCTACTTTTGGTAATAATTTGGACATATACTCACAGGGGCTACTGTATTGCGCATTACACGTCAACTGTATTGAATTTGGCAGCAAGCCTTGAACATTGTCACTGTTTGCCTTGGTATTGTAACTGGCATGATTTTAGACAGTTCCAGTCATGTTTAACACGGAGTTCAAATGCATTCCAACATTTCTTTGCCCTATGCCACTGCAAGACAAACTGTATTTCCTAAAGTAACTGTCATTTCACAAGTACTTATAAACAGATTGTGCAAAATATATTGATCGTTTGCACCTGTAAATCTGGCAGTAATTGCACCTACCTTGTCAAATATTTTGATCAGTTCTTTGTTTTTGTTTTTTAGAGCAGGTAAGTACAGTGCAATAAATACACTTTTCTCTGTTGAGTTGCTATAGGAATACCCCCATTATTTATTACATTTGTTGAAAAGATGCACATCTCATCGGATGGTCACCTTCTTTTCCAGGGAAATATTAGTAGTGCTAGAACATGCCTATGCCTCAATCAAATACATTGTAGCATGCCAGCTCTTGCTGCAATTTATACAGAAATATCAAGCTACAGATATCAATATTTCTCATTTTGTAAGGCAAGAGCACGTGCACTACTGTATATGGAGGCAGTCTGATTGGAGCCCTACAGCAGTCTTTTATCTTATCTTAACAACTGAGGCAGCCACAATAGGCAGAGGCCAGATGGCCAGGCAGATTTTGAAACATTTTAAAATCACCAAACCACTCTTTAGAGCTCAGTGATCCAACCCTTTCTGGGCTGGTACTGTGAAGCGGTGGGCCCTCAGTACATTATAAAGGAAACCTCCCATCCTGTCTCTCATAGATTCTCCAACGGATGAAAAATTAGCAATGTGAGTGGGTTCCCAGCTTTCCCAGGCCAGACTGCTATTGCCTTGGGCATTCCCTTGGTACTAACGGAAACCTGCCACATAATGTAAGCAGAGACTGAAAGTCAAATCTAGTGAGGGGACTGTTATATTTGTGGTAAAATTTTGACCATGTGGTAAATTGTTGATGCATTATTTGATATATGGAGAAGGACTGTCCTTTGTTTAGCACTTATTTTGTCCCTAGTAGGGTCCTAACACTCACATTAATACTGTAAAAAAAATGTTAATAATAGAAGTACTGTGACTTTCTGTTAATGAATGTAAATACCTATTTCTTTAGTTTTAGATTTGCTGCCCTTTCCATTACTCTCACTGCAGGGAGGAAAGGAACCATGTGCCTACATGTGCTTCTGCTCTGTATTCCCTGGCAATAGGGGGTGTGTAGTTATTAACTTTTAATAATTTGCTTGTATGGCAAGCACGTCAGGACCTATTTACACAGCACACCAGTGTCAATTCCAGCCTTTCATTTTGTTGTTTTGTGATTTTAAATGTTATCTTTTGAATGTAGTGAAATGATAAATGGCAGTGTTTGTAAAACACGTTACTGTACAGCTGGTGGATATTGTTGTACTCATTCAATCAATGAAATGTTTTAAGGTGTAGTTTGTACATCCATTTTTAATTTTCTCTCCGTTTTCTTTAATTGTCAATATATTGATTTGCACAATAGACTGCTAATATTTAGTTTCTAGTTGTGCAACATTTGAGTTTCTATTTACTTCATGATTGAAGCGATTACAGTATATACAGTACAGAGAATCCTGGATCTAATGATTGAACTATAGGTTAGCAGCCCCACATGTCATAAGAAAAACTCTAGGATCTGGGTTTACATTACTTACAAGTTTAAGCTCAGGCTCCTCCTAATGCATCTTTGTTTTTTTTTATTGAGTTCGGCCATCACCACATACTAGATGAAGGCATCACAGGATGAAATTAATCTACCATTCTTTAAACAAGAAAACACCTTCTTGTTTTAATAATTTATTGCATTTTTTCTGCAATCCTATGGTAAACTACAACCTGTATGTTGTAGTTTTTATCCAACTAAATCTTCCAAGAACAAATACCGCAAGTCATTTAAATTTGCACCTACCAAAGAATAGAGTAGAAAACAATATGCAGAGTAAGCTGAAGCTATCTGCCTTTGTCTCTCAAGTTATTTTCAGTTTTATGATTAAACCCGTTCAGTTTGACACTTGCACTTACTAACACGTATGCTCTGAACAGATATTTACTTTTTATTAATTAATCTTTGCTTTCATTGCTTTGTTTATTTATGCAGTAATGGCCTAGTCATTTATAACAAAAAACAAGCTAATGGTTGTCTAAACTTTCCTTGGCCTATCTGGTAAACTAAAGGTTTTTTTATCATAACATATTAAGTAACAACTTAAGTTATACTACACTATTATAATGTAATGCCTTGTATGCTGTTTCTGGTAATGTGAGATAACCTATGTGAGAAAATCACTATGTCTTAATTTTTTAGCGGAAAATGCTAATTACTGGACTGAATTTATTTAACTGCATTTTATTTGTCTCAGTTAATGATTATTGTATGCTACAAGTTATGCTTCATATGTCTGTTTAATGCAGGAAGAGATCTGTTTATTATTTAAAAGTCACTGGGATTTCACTTTCTTGTTTTTTGACATTTAACCAGTAAAAATGACAAGTTGTGTCTGAAATACAGAACTGTGGCCAATCTTCTAGAATCCTGCTGCAGTGCTGCACAATTTTTGATGTGAGCCGAAATGGATTGTGTGACCTACTCTGGGTAATGCCCAGAGCATTGTTAAAGCTTCAGCATCACATGTAATGATGTGGTTTTTAATTTCCATGTTCCGGACAAAGGTATTTTATAGTAGAAATTATATGCAATCATTCACTTGACCCTAATGCGCAAGTAATTGTATGCGTTGATATTTATATGTGTGTGCTGTGTACCTTTGAAATGCCTAATTGCTTTTTATTTCCTGTGCTTCTGTATTTCTGCTGCTTGGGTTGGGTTTGGTCCAGCTGCAGCAGTTGTCTATCCTGGAGGTCCCGAACCTCTGCAGCCTGCCTCTCTGCGTGCTCTCCTCCTTGTTTTGCAGTGGTTTGTGCAGCGCATTGTGTGTAGCGTGCTCTGGCGGCTAGAGGCGCTCGTTAAAAGCAATAACTTATCTCACGTTTGAAGCTAATGGGAAGAATACTGGCCACAGTGAAAAATAAATTACATTTTTTTCCCCGCTCTCGCTGCCCTCCTAACCCGCAGCGTAATATAGCGGCGGTGAGAGTATGCATTACAGATTTGAAGCATTAGAATTTATCTGTGCTGTACGACGCTGACTGATGCATTTGAAAATAATGTACTTGAGCGGAGCATTACAGAGACCCCGTAACTAATGGACAGCTCTCGCCCGTGGCCGCTACTGTATATCATTCAGTCTGCCTACCTCATCAAACCCTCTAGATTTTCTGCACGGCTCTTCAGCCCTGTGCCTCAGCTGCCCGGTGTAGTAGGATGTAGCAGATCCTGGCAGAGGGGCAGCCCATTTCTCACCAGCACCCTGATGCGCCATAAAGCATGGATGAACTCCAGCTGTGAGTGAGATCTAGATCCGACTTTTTTTTTTCCACCGCGCAGCACATGACGTTAACTTAATAGACCACTTCAAAGTGCTGAAGTTACACATTTTTTCTTATATGGGCCAGAGAAATTCATGGGGAAAAAAACCCCTCCTTCTGCAGTCATTTATTTTGCTTATTTCAGGCGTGCTGTTCAGTTATTACCAACTGAAGCCTCAGATGCACGATGTCCATACTTTTATCCCTTAACCCTTGAGAGTCTTAACCACAGCCTATTTTTCTGGGTTCAGATGGTTTGTGTTTGGCATGTAAATAAAAACATGTGGTAATATCCTGAATGAACCCTAAGACTGCACTTAAACCAAAGACCAGGCAACTATAAGGTGACTATCCTGCCGGCGTCAAATATGACAGATGATTTCAGCTTAGTAACTTTCAGCTGACTTTGTTATTATTTTTATGAAGTGGTGATTTTGTCTGTTTTTTAAATCGATCATTCACTGAACCTCTGTTTTTATGTTTGCAGTGCGGTTGAGAGAGGAGGACTACTGCTAGGCCATGGAACTTGTGGGCTCTTGAGAAAGTGAGGGTATCAATACAGGTCCTTAAAATGATCTCATCATGTGTAATGAGCTGACGTGGGTTAAATTACCATTGTTTTAATAACGGGTTCATGATATACAGACGATTGGCTTTTTTTATTCTATGAAGTTAAATTAAAGGCAGGCTGAGTATAGCCTGAGTATAGAAAGACAGTGGACAAAAATGTAAACACTCATTGGTGATGGAAAGCTCATGTTAATTTAGCAAATCGTATCCCTTCATGCTTTGCGTCATATATAAAAATGCTGAATAGGCCTGGCTGCCTATAAGTATGGCTGCAAGAGGAAACTTAAGTGTTTGATAGGAGCTTCAGCAGCCGAGACAGCCCAACTTGTTGATGCTTCACAAGCTACAGTGCCTAAGCAGAGGTCAGCAGGGAATGCAGAGGAAAAGACATCAGCAAAGGGCAACATGCACTCCAGGATTGGAATATCCTTCCATTAAGTGGAAGGCAGTTTGTAGGTGGAGCAATTGACTGGAAATTCCAAGTTCAGATTAATAAGAATCCTTACACTTAATTAAGGTAATGGGGACTCCCCTCAACTACCAGCACCACCACCAATGTTTAACTGTCACCTGGATGATACTGCACCAGTTCGCTTGCCACACATCAGCTATCAGTCGGGAGGAGTAATGAAGTTAATTTATAGATGGGGAATATCAGAAGGAGCTCCCTACTGGTTCTACTAACACCTCTTCCTGCAGCAACTTTAGGTTTCCCAGGAGGTCTCCCAACCAGGTAACAGGCCAGAGCTGAGCTGAGCTTCAGTAGTTTGCCAGAACTGAGCTTTTCAGTAGTTGTGAGATGCAGGGGTATGTACTGTAGCGTTTGACAAATTGACTGCAAGCAGTCGGTCGCATCAAAAATGGTTTGCTGAGAAATCCACAGGATGGGATACCATAGGGGACAGGGTATCAGAATGGGCACAGAGAACACATTCACTGGACTACTAAGCAGTGTAGGAATGTGATACAGTCAGATGACTCATGTTTCACCATGTTCTTGACAAATGGACAAGTGCAAGTGAGGCACCAATTTAAATAACTCTATAGCTCTGGGTACTTAGTTCCAAAAGTGAAGGGTTCTGGGGGTCCCATAATGTTGTGGGGTGCATCTTACCGGCATAGTTTGGGTACACGAGGGGTGTCCTCCAGGATGACAGGGATTTTCATTCTGTCTATATGATTCAACTCGGGACACTCTGAGATTGAACATTTTTTCTCCTCTCTCGGTGAGTTTGGATGGGTACATCGCCTAGGATGACTGTCTTCCATTAGATACGTCTGGTGAATGTGCAGACAGAGTCCCAACACAACTCTCTCAGGTTGTTGGAACTCAGATGTATCCAGAAAATTAGCCAAGAAGTGGCCAAATGTGGATGAGCTGAGCACATTTGTAGTCTCTTATTGCGTGTCTGTGTGATCACCAGTGTTGAGCTGAAAGTTAAAAGATTTAAAGACCTTTTAAAGTCACGCTAAGGTGCAATGCTGGAGGAGATAACATCCTAAGGTAAAGCTCTGGCTTCAGCAGCCTTTTTGCTGAAATGTCCTTGAATAGCAATACCATCCAGCATTAAAGTTTTACAGCATAAACCATTTGATCAGTTATTTCAGAAGACTGAATTTAAAAGAACAGGCACTAGACGGCTTAGAAAACAAGTTTATGATGTATAGACGAATGTCCAGAAAAATTCTAATTATTATTGCTTACATTTTCTCTTGCATTTTTGTGCTGCATCTGTGAAAGTAAAACTATTATGAAACATTTTTTTTCCCCAGTGAGGAAACTGCTTTGATGCCGCAGCTCATCCATAGGTTTTGTATTTTATTTCTGAAGATTATTTTATTTTTAATAAGTGCAGCGAATTGCACTGCATCCTTCTAAAAAAAGCTGGTCAAAAAAAAAAAGGAAAGAAGGCCAAATTAATTCCGTCCGCAGAGGGGTCAGAAGGCAGAAAGTGCATAGCAATGCATTCTGCTCAGCAGGTTAGTGGAGATATGATGCTAATAAGATCATAAGATGAGAGAAGGAGTCTGGCCCTGGGGATTCGCATGAAGGGTTTCTGTAAATTTTTTAAAAGAAATCGTCTCAAAAAATAATGATGTCTGCTTTGAAATGCATTAATAATCTGGGGTGGACGGTTTTGTTCCAGGATGTGGAATAACATTAAAATACCAAATTCATATGGAGAGAAAGAAGGGGGGCAAACGGAAAAAAAAATACTCAAAGCATTTTTCTTATTTTTTCTTCTGCAGTGCGCAAAACAGGTGTTGAAAAGGGGGGTGTTGTGTGGGGTAAGGGGTTGGAGGGTTGGTGGATGAGTGTGTTTTTTACATTTGCTTTTCAGTTAATGTTTGAAATAAATGCTGCAGATGGTACTAATCTTATTTCCAGTTCATGACATAATAGTCAGACAACACTTCCTGTTCCAGAGACTTTGGATCATTTCAGTCTTCAAAAATACATTTTGCGGAATTCTTTGAGGAATAGTTATTGAGCAGTGGCCTAAAAAAATTGATGAGATGGCCGAATACTTTGCTTCTCATAGGAAATTGCGTGAATGCCTGATGAAATAAGGCTTGGATAAAGTATACATTCGTTTTCTTAATCTGTCCAATTCTGTATTATGCTTCATTATGTTGAATAGTCCTTAAACAGTTTGAATTGCAAATATTTATTGTAATTATAATGAAATATGGTGATATAAATGCAGTAATTTCTATGTTGACAAAAAGCCAAAGAGACTCAGAAGTACACGGAACATCGTCCAAATGCGAGACTGAAGTTCTGTTACTATGGGAGTATGAAAGCGTCAGGCAGAGGTAAAACATGGGTTCAAAGCTTAACATGTCCACTGCCTACATGAGATGGGCGGTGTTATAAAATTGCAAACAGCAAAGACTAAACCACCTCTAAGCCTTGTGAGCATGGGAACAGTGCATATTAGTGGACCAGAGGGCCTGTCAATAATAATTTAAAGCTATTTTCTTTTTCACTTACTCCTCTGGGCTGCGTGCAGGTGGTCAGGAATTGAGGACAACTACAAGACCTAAATCTTTAGTATCTGGAATCCTGTATCCTGATACCTGATACTAGTATCCCAGATCTTTACTATCTTTGCAGTACAACCACAAGCTGTTTTCTGGTGAATGGCAGAAGCACTCAGGTCACAACTTGCTATTACAACATTTGGTCTTTGGTGGCACTGTTTGCTGCCATTACAAAAATACCAAATTAAAGAAAAAAAACCCAAATAGATCTCTACATTATCCCCTTCAACTATTTTGGCACAAAACACTGAAGTTGGCAAACCCTCTATGTGGTATGCAGTGCGTCCCTCAATGAGCTTTCCACGTTTTAATGGCAGACTGAATGAGAAGTGGTGTAATGGAGCTGTGTGAAATTATTGGATAGGACTGGTTTTAGAAGGGGGAGGTTCAGGAGTAGGTGGACAGATATCAGATAACATAAAGGCATTAAAAGGTTGACAGTGTCTGCGGTGTAAAGGGAATGTTGGTGACCCTCTTAATTTACAATAATCCTCCTGGCTGATTGTTTTTTGAAGTGCACACGTGAGGTATACATTCATTAATGGTCCACTAGTGGTTTTATTTTATTTATTTATTTGTGCCGGTTCTAGTTTTCCAGTGTGCCTATAATTTCTAATTTTCTCAACTACCTTTTTTTGGCTAAATATAGACTTTGCTCATAATAGCAGGCTATGTATTTTTTCTAATAAACACCACGCTTGAGTCTCAATGCATTATCAAAATTGTAAACGGTAATTTGCAGTGGATTTATTTTTATTCTAGCAGCCCCCTCCCCTTGTTTTGATGGGGAATTATCGGTGAATCCTATCACCCTCCAACACCCCCCCACCCCCACCCCGCAGCCTGCTTCAGTGTCAGCACCTTTTGATGTAGCTTATGTGCACTTCCAAATAGAATTTTTAATAAGGAGTCATTATCATTTTGATTTCTCGCTGAATGAAAAGAGTGACCTCTGGCATTTATAGGGGAGAAAAAAGGCAGATATGACTCATTGACATTAAACATGGAGCCTTCTCTGTGTAAGTTATAACTAAAGGTAGGGAGCTCTCTGGAAGAGATTGGTGTTGCTATTAAAGATCAGTAATTAAAATAATTCTACTTGTATGCTATTTTGTTTCATTTTGCTTGTTCATATTTCAGAAAAACGTGCCTGCTCTCAACAAAGTCTAATGTTTTGCATACTGCATTTTAGGGATAAATGTTTCATCATGTTAAGCTATGCCAAGTGTATCTTTTGAGTTCTTATCATTTTTATGTGCTTTTGGTTACTGCAGTGTACAGATTCTAGGATTTGCCCCATCA